ATGACACCCGCCACAGATTGGTTCACCGGGTTTATGGCTCAAAGCCCCAAGCTCCTAATGGAGACAGTCGGCTGGGGCCTACCGGCCTCCTTCCTCCCAAGACTGACTCCGTGTGCAGTTGCTAATCCGTCACCAACTTCTGCTTACAGTCTTTGGGAAATTATACCTCCACGACAAGAGATTTGTAAGCACGTGTCATGTCTGCGTGCCTTGCACGTCTCGTTGGGTGTAGCTGCAATCTCTTCCCGCAGCAAATATACCCCATGGCATTGGCTGTCATTTTTAAAATGCAGGGCCGATTAAAGAGGAGGAATGATGTCCCATAGAATCGTGGAATTGCAGAGTTGGAAGGGAACACGAGGGTCATCTAGTCCAGCCCCCTGCAATGCAGGAATCTTTTGCCCAATGTGGAGGTTGAACCCATGACTCTGGGGTGAATAGGCTCATAGTCCGTTAATCCCTTTTCTTCCTTGGTCCATTTTCAAAACTGCTTTCCTGAATTGGGATGCAGGGGATGTAAGAGAAAATGGCAGCTGGACCTATTCAGTGATGTGTGGCGAGAGAAAACCAAAATTCTTTACCAAGAAAAGCCCATCTCTGTGATCTAAATGAGGTGTTCAGCTAATTTGTGGGTTGTTGTTTTTGTGTGTGTGTTTGCATAATTGATTTTACTTCTGCTTGCTGGGGGAAGAAATCTATGTAGAGCAGTAAACCTCCAATATCCATTGGGACTCCAGACTAATGGACAGGTTTTTATTATGGATGTTTCGTAATGTGCTGAACACTGCCCTGAGATCTTTAGACAAAGGGCAGAATAATGATGATGATGATGATGATGATGATGATGATGATGATGGAAGTCTCACTAGGTTACGTTCAGGTCAAACCTGAACTTCTCCTTTCTTGGTGAACAGGGGGCAGTGTGTCCTGTTCTGCCAACATGGGAACATGCGGCAAGGTTTACAGTGGAGATCCCTCATTGGGCGAGATTGCTCGCACGCGTGAGTGCGCGCACCTGCGATTTCCGGCATCTGTGGAAGCGAGTCCCCGTAACACGCTGCGCCAGTTTAGCACAGTGTGTGGGGACTTGCTGAGCGGGCGGCTTGGTTTGGGGGTGGCTTGTGGGCTGGTTAAAAGACCCCCGTGGGCCGCTTGTGGCCTTAGGTTGCCTACCCCTGGCTTCTAGTTTGTGGTTTGTTTGAGAGAGCCAAGTTCAGACAACACACTAAGCCAAAGCATGGCTGAGTTCAGTGCAGAAGCAGAATGACCAGAGGAGGAGTAAAGCAGTCACAATCTCCGCTGTGGGAGCCTGAACATTCGCTGAGCCATGCTTTGGCTTAGCGTTACGTGTGAAAAAGGGCCCTGGCAGCTTCCTGCGCTCACAGAAAAAAACCTAAACTCAATTAACAGCAGTACTGAATATGTTGTACCAGTCTGTAGCCAAAGAATTGGCTGGCCAGTTAAAATTTATATGTAAAATTCAGCACCACTCAATGACTTTTTAGATTCCTTACTGTCTGGGGGCTCTTTGCTATCCTCCCCATGGCCTACAAATAATCTCTCCAGACAAAACTGGCACTCCCTTTCCTTCCTCAAAATAACAATGAATATTCCAATAGATTGTTCCCTGAGCACTTTAAATATTTGTGAACATTCCATGACATCACAGCAGCAACAAGTGTAAGAGGCTTTACGATTGCAAATGTGATACAACAGAGATTCATGACTGCTTTCTAACACTGATAAGTAGGACTTGAGAGCAGCTTGTTTATGCTTTTTGTGCACGGGCATCCGGTGGGAAAAAACCACACACTTATAACACGCATGCTATTAAGGATTTACTTTTTAAAAAACCTACTATGTTCTCCATAAAAATGTGAGCAAGAAGCAGGAAAGACTCAGGGCTATATTGAGTCTCACATGCTTGCAGACCATCTTCGCATCTGACATGCTTTGTGCATATTTTGTACATCCCTGAGTTTATCATAAGAGGAAACTGTGGGATGGCTCTGTCCTGTACCTGCAGTTTGAAGTCGCCTTTCATGGAATAGGGAAACTTACTTGGATTCAATGACTTGTCACTAGGGGGCGATGAGAAGTCAACAAAAGGAAACTGAGAGAGGAACCTTAGCAGTTGCTTTTTAGTAGCATTTAACTTAAAACATATTCCTGCCAATAAGCACGTTAAATGAATATTTGCGAACATTTGGCAAGGACCATGCCTACTAATATCCATGGATTTCTGCACTCCTTATTTATTAAAATGTCTACCCATCTTTCTGCAATAGTAAAACATAAAATCACAATACAATAAAACACACTCATGGGTAACTGCAAAATAGTAACTCTAATATTAACAATATAATTGCATTTGCATAGTTACATAGCTCATACTGGAATCAGAAGAGTTTTCTGTCTGCAGTTCTAAATGTGTTTACTCAGAAGGAAGCCACGTTGTGTTCAGTGGGATTTACCTCTTTGTACGTGAGTTGAGTGTGTTTAAAAATGTCAGCCAAGGCGACATTTTTCCTCCTTCGCCACATCAAGCAGTTGGTCCCTTACCTTTCCCACCCTGACCTGGCCACAGTGATCCATGCGACGGTCATCTCCAGGCTTGACTACTGTAAATCGCTCTACGCGGGGCTGCCCTTGAAGCTGTTCCAGAAACTCCAGCAAGTGCAGAATGCTGCAGCGAGGCTCCTCATGGGGTCTCTGTGATGGGAGCATATTCATCCAGTGCTTTTCCAGCTGCACTGGCTCCCGGTGCAGTACAGGGTCAGATTTAAGGTGCTGCTTTTGACCTTTAAAGCCCTTCACAGCCTAGGACCCTCGTACCTACGGGACCGCCTCTCCCGGTATGCCCCAAGGTCCATAAATAGCAACACCCTAGTGGTCCCGGGCCCTAAGGAAGTTAGATTAGCTTCAACCAGAGCCAGGGCCTTTTCAACTCTGGCTCTGGTCTGGTGGAACGCTCTGCCTCATGAGACCAGAACCCTGCAGGATCTGATTTCTTTCCGCAGGGCCTGTAAGAGTTGTTCCACCTGGCCTTTGGCTTGGAGCCAGTTTGATTCCCTCCCTCCCTCCCTCCCTCCCTCCCTCTCTTTCTTTTTTCTTTTCCTTCTCCTCCTGCGAGGAGGCTACATTTTAACATTTAAATGTTTCAATATTTTAATGTTGTATTTTAATTTTGTTTTTAAGATGTAATCATTCAACTTGTTTTTATTATTGCTTGTAAGCCACTCTGAGGCCGGCCTTGGCTGGGGAGGGCGGGGTATAGATAAAAATTATTATTATTATTATTAATAGGGCTTACTCCTGGGTAAGTGTGCAAAGCACTGCAGCCTTACAGTAAAATCCTATGCATGCCTACTGGGAAGTAAGTCCCATTTAATGCAGTGTGGCTTCATGGAATGTGCATATATCTACCTGGGAGCAGCCCCACTGAATTCAGTGAGACTGACTGTTGAATAGGGATTTAAAGAACTGTGGTGTTGGGCTGCTGTCATAGACCCATATACCTGCTGGGAGCATGCCCCATTGAACTCAATTGGATTGACTTTTGACTAGGTGTGCATAAGTTTGCACTGTTGGTGTCTTCAGTCGAATAATTCCTTTTTCACACCTTCTGGAGTATCAATTCATCCCCTTGCACAGAAGCCACATTTCATTCATTTCTAAATCATTATACTCCAACAGCGTTCATTTCCCCTTTCTGCAGACTGCAGCTTGCCTGTGCAAAAAGAGGGTTCATAGAATCATGAAATTGTAGAGTTAGAAGGGACCCCATAGGTCATCTAGTCCAAACCCCTGCAATGCAGGAATAGCAACTAAACTAAAGCATCCATGGCTGATGGCCATCCAGCCTTTGCTTAAAAACCTCCATGGCACCCCACCTGCAAAGAAGTGTTTGGTTTGGGTGGCATATCTCCATGCCAGCAGAAAGCTTTCCAGTAAGTGAGAAAGGAACTGCCTTATCTGCTCTCGGAATTGTTGTATATCATCAAAAACTGGAAGTGCTGATGCCTGAGAGACGCAAGTCAAATTCTTCCCCTTGTCAAAAAGCATTTGGGATGGGAAACTAGGAACAATAATATACAGTGTGGTTGCAGTGGGCCCTGGGAAACCTTACGGATGTGGATTTGAAATCAGCCCAACTCTTCAAAGACACACCAGCTAAGCCATTTTCACAACAGAGCATCCTTTTGTATCAGTGCAATTCAGCTGCACAGTCTAGCTCCCCCACCTGCGGCTCATTCTGCCAGCATGTGAGAAGCCTTTATGTGCGAACAACAGAGTGGCTTTGCACACCTACTGAATGTGCAAACAGCAGTATCAGACCTTCCACGTGTCCCTATTTTCCAACCCCAGATATACAGAAGCCATCCTGGTTTCTGATTTGATCCCAGAATATCCCGCTTTTCCTTAGGATGTCCCTATTGTCATTGGAGAAAGGTTGGAGGGTGTGGAGTTATGCAACCCTTGAGCCAAGCAGATAAGTAACTATACAACCTTTAGGAGACATCTGAAGGCCCTATAGGGAAGTTTTTTTAAAAAAAATGTTTAATGTTTTAGCATGTTTTTATATATATTGGAATTGGGACGTGGGTGGCGCTGTGGGTAAAAGCCTCAGCACCTAGGGCTTGCCGATCGAAAGGTCGGCGGTTCGAATCCCCGCGGCGGGGTGCGCTCCTGTTGCTCGGTCCCAGCGCCTGCCAACCTAGCAGTTCGAAAGCACCCCGGGTGCAAGTAGATAAATAGGGACCGCTTACTGGTGGGAAGGTAAACAGCGTTCCGTGTGCTGTGCTGGCTCACCAGATGCAGCTTGTCACGCTGGCCACGTGACCCGGAAGTGTCTGCGGACAGCGCTGGCCCCCGGCCTCTTGAGTGAGATGGGCGCACAACCCCAGAGTCTGTCAAGACTGGCCCGTACGGGCAGGGGTACCTTTACCTTTATATATATTGGAATGCCCAGAGTGGCTGGAGCAACCCAGCCAGATGGGTGGGGTATAAATAATAAACTTCTTGTTTTTGTTGAATAGGACATCCCTATTTTCATCAGAGAAATGTTGGAAGGTATATAACTGGCCACATCCACTCCAGACATTTAAATCACATTTAAATCACATGCCTCCCCCCGTAAGAATGCCGGGAACTGAAGTTTACCTCTCACAGAGCTAACCTTCCCAGCACCCTTAACAGACCCAAGATTCTTTCGGAGAAACCCTATGCTTTAAATGTTTGGTGTGGATGTTCTCTGAGATAAAGTGCTGCAGACATGCTACGTATTTATTACATTTAAACTCTTTGACTCCAGGCGAATCACATGCAGACGCGAGTGCATATTCAGCAGCAGCCACTTTGGAAAAGTGGTCTGTTCAGCACAGGATGGTCATGGGACATGGCCACAGTAGCACAGCTCTAGGGGCTACCTTACGAAACCTGTTCCAGCACTCAGCAGCACTCCTTAAACTCCACAGCATGAACTCCTGCCTCCAATCAAATCTCATTGTGACTGGCATTAAGGGGATTATCTTAGCCCTGCAGCCCACACTCCAGCTGGCTTCTCTTTTGCTTAGTCAGACAGAACATGGCTCCCTGCTCAGAACCCCTATGCTGCTTGCTGGGCAGAAGTCCCTCTCGGGGTGTGAGGCTCCTCTAGCTCTCTCTTTCTCTCTTTGGAGAACCATCAGGTCCATCTGGAACATGAATGGCTATGATTTCCTTCAGGAAACACCAGGTACTGGGTCCTACTAGGACTTTAATTTTGACCATCAGCCTGTTTGGGGAGGAAAAAGTATTACTGGGTGTTTTTCCCTCCCTCAAGTGTTGCCAGAGTTTAACCAAGCAAACTGCGCAAATGGTTGCCTTAAGTTGTACATCTAACTTCCGTGCATGTCACTGAAAAGCTCCCAGAATCTGAAATGTGAAAGTAAAATCTTGATTGGTTAGAATGTACCTTTCAGTTTTAAAATTCATTCTCCATCCACATTAGCAACATTCACACATGCACCCAAATATTTAGTGCATGGGAATGAATGTTTTGAATGTTAATGCTACTTGTGGAAACACCCAGAGGGGTTCACTCTCAAAGCCCCCTCCCCGTAGGAGAAAACAGCACCCAGATTCATTGTTTATGCAAACATGTTAACAGCTTTAAACTTATCAAAGAAGAGTCAAGCCTGGTGCTTTTTTTGTGAGGATTAGTACTCTTGAGTTTTCAAACCTGATTAGCAGGAAGTTTTCTTTGCTCCTTTATTGTCCGGTAATTTCTGGGCAAACATTCTCTGAAGCCAACATATCACAATAACCCATTTGGCCTTCAGATTCTTCTAGATGTTTGAGGTTCCTGGAACTGTGGAGAAGCTACTCACCCATTTTGTCTCTATGTCCCAGAACCCCCTTGGATCTGCTCGCTGAAACAAGCATCTTCTCTTTGCCCTAAAGTTATTAAGCTACCATTGCTTGCATAATGGATGTGGCTGAATTCTCAGCTTTTAGAAAGTTTCAATTGAGGGGGACGAGAACCCAAACCACATGGGAGTAGATCTAAACTTACCTCTTCTGTAAGAGATATTCCCATGGCAGCAGCTTTTGTGCAAGGCTGCCAAAAGGCTTCATGAGTGAGTCCTCAGGGCAAACGTGTTATCCACCCATGCACCCCAAATATTGCAAATTTAGAACCAGAGCCTTCATTTAAATAACAAAAAACCCTATGTTGCTGTCTCTTTAAATGGATTCCCTTTCCATGGCCCTATTCCATGACATATCTCTGATTGATGCCTTCCTGCTCTTTAGTGCTTTTGGCATAGTGTACAACCCAAAAATACAGGGCACGTCCCTAGAAAGATCAGGTAATCCTTTGCTCTTAAGACTCAGGATCCAAATTCTGTGGCCTACATCAGCTGCGCATCCTGTACCGATCCGGTAATAATTACCTTTCATACCTACAGAGTGTGATGATTTCATTCTAGCACATCATCCTCAGAATGAATCATGTGCTGGCATGCCCTAAGGGAAGAGAAACACATTTAGAATATTCGTATGGTATAGTTGCTTCAGGCTACATATTTAAATAATCTCTTCCTGCAGTTTGAAAACAGAGACCCCAGGGGAAAGAAGTCTAGCTGAACCTAAACCTCTGCCTGTTGTACTAGTGTTCCAAGCAGAATAATAGAATTGCAGAGTTGTAAGGGACCCTGAGGATCATTTAGTCCAACCCCCTGCACTGCAGGAATATACAGCTGTCTCATATGGGGACTGAACCTACAACCCTGGCATTATCAGCACCATTGAATCAGCTCTAATTGAATTTGAGATGCTCTGCTACTGAGCAACAGCAATTCCCTGAGGGTAGAGGGAGCCACTACGATGGCACGACTGCTTCCCACACTGCTTAGAAGCTCTGGATCACCATGTTGGTGTTTTCCTATGGGAATGGTGCCCCAGTTTTTGGAATTGCACTTCCCACGTGGTCCAGAGGTTTTGATGGCACCCTAGTTGTGCAGGAAGGAACTGTGCTGATGTTGTAGCTTCCGCACTGCCGAGTAATGTCAGGGAAGGCTGTGTAAGAGATGCCAAGTAATAGCCACTATTCTCATGCAAGAAGAAGGAAAAAACCACTGGAGATCTCTGGACAGTTCACACTAGGCTCCCCCCCCCCGCCAGATCACGTCAAACGCATGCTAGGTTTATGCCCCGCCAACGTTCCCCCTCCCGCAATTAACTTACCCAATATCATCCGCCCTCAGCATGTTTTCAATAAACCAACTTTGGGGACACCAGTTCTGGGAGTTAATCATTGCTGTGTTTATCAGTTGATGATTGATTTATAAAGGTTCATGGCTTCAGCTTGCCACCATATTCCAATTTGTTGAAATGCTTGGTTGACTTAAATTATGCACTTTATGGTTGTAATATAATTTAATTATTTTATGGCAGAACGGGGCATTAGCTAAGGATGGTTTCTGGGAGAAACAAGTGGTGAATGATCAAAATACTATGCTACTAACATGCTCTCTCATTCAAGATGGCTCGGCAGCTTTTGGTTACATGGGCTTTTTCTTTTTTTCATGCAAGTTGTTTGGGTAGCTCATTCACACCTGCATGATTAATTAGAAGAGGTAGAAGGTTTTAATCTACCATCCCGGCCTCCATGCAACCCTGGAAAGAAAACCGGAAAAATGAGCAGATTAAACAACTTCACAGCATATGCCAATGCTTCAGAGGAAGGGGCTGTCTTCAGTGAAATAAACATAATTATTTCCTATTCTTCCTCATTAGAGGTCAATGACGGTTGAAGTCCCGCAGGCTTACTTCGGCCCACGGCTAACCATTTCATAGAGTTCCAAAATGATTTGTAATCACACTGGCCCTTTTACAGATGCATTGCAGTTAGTGAGGGGTGACTCCTGCCCACGGCCCACAACTTGGCTCCTGTCAGATTTGGATTGGAAATAAGCCACGGCCATTTCCCCCAAAACCGGGAAGCATCGTTTTGTTCTTGTTTATACAGAAATTTTCTATTGACAAAGGGTTCTGTTGAAATGCATTGGGAATTGTCTCAGTCTGTGGAGCTGCCTTTTTTGTGGGGTGTATTGGGTGCTTTTTTGGGGGGTGCCTGTACTTGATCCTCTGTTTTTCTGTGGCCTAGCCTACACTGTATCTGTCCACACTCCACGACCCCTCAAATCCCCTTCCTCTTTTCCCCATCCCCAACTTTATTGGGTGGATAGGCTAAGAGAGGAATGAATTGCTTGGATGAAATATCTGAACACAGGGATTTCAACATTGGCCTTCTGTCCCTGGAAATGAAGGTTTGGGTGACATTAGCTGCAATCAGCCTGGCAGTTTCACTTTTTCAGTGGGAGGGGGGAACCAGGAGTATTATATTTACGTGCCACCAGAGAATATTTAAATGGTCTTGTAACTGAGCAAGAAGGTAACCATATCAAAGATACTTCTGTAATCGTTATTACAAAATTCTGTAAGGTAAAGGTAAAGGGACCGCTGACCATTAGGTCCCGTCGTGGCCGACTCTGGGGTTGCGGAGCTCATCTCGCTTTATTGGCCGAGGGAGCCGGCATTTGTTCGCTGACAACTTCCGGGTCATGTGGCCAGCATGACTAAGCCGCTTCTGGCAAACCAGAGCAGTGCACGGAAACGCCGTTTACCTTCCCGCCGGAGCGGTACCTATTTATCTACTTGCACTTTGACATGCTTTCGAACTGCTAGGTTGGCAGGAGCAGGGACCAAGCAACGGGAGCTCACCCCGTGGTGGCGATTCGAACCACCAACCTTCTGATCCTAGGTTCTGTGGTTTAACCCACAGCGCCACCCGCATCCCAAAATTCTGTAATGGAGCATTAATAAGCTGTTTGGAAGGTGGTGTTGAAAAGGTGTATCCATTGTAAAAGATGGTTTGCTGCTCAGCTTGTTCACAGTGACCACCTTATCTCATGGTAAACCAGAGATAGCCAATGTGGACCACAACTCCCATCAGCCCCAGGTAGCATGGCCAAGGATTTGAGATTCATCTTATTAGATCTCTATTCTGCCCTTCTTCCCAGGAGTCCTGGGCAGTACAAAGGAGACCAGGCAACATCCCAGGGTGGGATGATGGGGGTTCAATTCCAAAATATGTGGAAGGCACGATGTTGGCTACCCAAGTGCAAGAGCTGCTTCCCCAGTGGGGTGAAGCTGCAGCAGTAACCTCCCAGCAGCAGCATTGCTGGGAGAGGTGGCACCAAGTAGGCAGTGATGTTGGGGGCTTTTCAATGCTCCGGTGGAGCCAATCTGGAACTCCTGCCAGTGGAGCCCCAACTTTGCTGCTGCCTCACTCCTGCTGAGAAATGACAGCAATGCTACTGCTGCTGCTAGGAGGCTATTGCTGTAAGTTCAGCCCCACTAGATGAGCTTCTCCTGCCCTGCAGTAAACCATAGTTGATGGTTTCCCATAGAACCAAGGATGGTTCCCACTTTGTTCATCTCCCTCTAAGCAGCATGAACAATGCCCCACTCCTGAATACCATTATGACTAAACCACATGTTGCGGTTTGTTTCGATGCAAGCAAACCATGATGCAAAGCCAATGTTTGATCTTGGCTTCCTGATCATGATTTGTCTGAGTAAAGCAAACCACAATCTCTGGTTCAGACGAAATGCTAAGTCATCAGTTGTGGTTTGTTGCTCCTGCTGGCTAAAGGTGAGGAAGCCATCTGCATTTCCAGGGCTTTTTTTCAGCTGGAAATCACTGGAACTCAGTTCCCACAGCTCTCAGATGGGGCCACTGCCATTATAAGAGAACAAGGGAGGTGTTCATGGTGAGTTCCGGCTCCTCTTTTTCTAGAAAACAGCACTGTGCATTTCCAGGATAAACCATTAAGAATTAACAATGGCTTACAGTGATGTGTGAATGGGGCCTATATTTTTCAAGGTTGACACTTCCCGGTCTCTCTCCTTTCTCAGGTAGTGTTTGTTTATTACTGAGCCTTTGATTACGTACAGCACTTTGAGGATGTTTTAGTTCCCTTTCATAGGTTGAGTCTGATAATGTCATGAACAGCCAAATAGGGCATCTTTTGTGTGTTTATTCGACTTCCAAACAGAACAGAAAGAAAGGATTCAGATGAGATTTATAAAAGGCCTATAAATCAAATTTTATGGGGAAGGACTGTATATTTGGTGACAGAATTCAGGTTCTCCACACATGGCTTTCAGCTAAAACCTAAAATTACTCTTGGTCTTTCTGTGCATGAATTTTTATTTTTTTTAGTTATAACTAATGCGCTCCCGTCGTTCGGTCCCAGCGCCTGCCAACCTAGCAGTTCGAAAGCACCTTTGGGTGCAAGTAGATAAATAGGGACCGCTTACCAGCGAGAAGGTAAACGGCGTTCCGTGTGCTGCGCTGGCTTGCCAGATGCAGCTTGTCACGCTGGCCACGTGACCCGGAAGTGTCTGCGGACAGCGCTGGCTCCCGGCCTATAGAGTGAGATGAGCGCACAACCCTAGAGTCTGGCAAGACTGGCCCGTACGGGCAAGGGTACCTTTACCTTTACCTTAATGGCAGCTGAGCATTATGGTCTCTAAGGAAAAAACCAGACTGTCATCAAAATGAGAGAACCATTTACAGAAACCCAGACCCTACAGACATTATTATTATTACTAATATTTCAATTTGCATTGTGCTCTGAAGGAGCCCAGAGAAGTCATAATCAGTATTTTAGAAAATGAGGATGAAATCACAAGTTGGCAACCCTATTTTCAGCAAACAGTGATGGTCAAAGAGGCATAAAACTGGTTTATGTTTGCAATGCCGTTGTAACCTCTGCAAGAAACAGTGCTAAGGTCATTGTGGTAGCACTGACACTTCCTTGGTCACCTGCTTATAAGAGATGCAAACACCACATCTCTTCAGGTAAACAGGAATCTCCTAGAAAGAATTGGTCTAGACAGCCAAGGCTAGATCAGCAGATAATTCACAGGAACTCAACACTGGAACAAACAACTATGTCAGAGGATAGTGACCAGTCATATGACCTGAAGGGTGGGGGAAAATCACTATCACACAAGGAGTCAGTGATCCATTCCCGAATACGCTGCTCCGGCCAATTACCAAACTGATTAATTGGTTCAGTGTGGTCTCTCTCCTTACCACAACACCATTTTCATGTATTTGAAGAAGCTGGGTGATGTTTAATTTAATTTACCCAAGGATTTTCATTTATTCAAGCCTTAATGCAACTGAGGCGAGAGCTGGCGTGTAATGTAATGGCTAAGAGGCTGAGCTACAAATCGGGAAGTGTCAGATTCAAATCTCTCATTTGCCATGAACTCACTATGCCATGCCCTCCAAGCGGGACACCCCAAATTTATAAAAGCTGCCCTAGCAGCTTCTAATTCCAATCCGGGGATGTCCTATTTTGGCTCCTGTCCTCTGAACCACGCCAGAACGCAGGGCCAAAAGACAGGTGGTTTTTGGTTCTACACTGTGGCACGAGGCAGTTGGTTAACACTGAAAAAAGCGGGGGGGGGGGTAAACTTGCCCCTGCTACGTTTCTTCCTCCTTCTGTTGCGGCACTTCTGGAAGCTGGTGCCGGCAGCAGAGGTGGTGGCTGTGTCTTCCACTAGGCTGTGCGGACCAGCACAGCGTCTTCCGAGGCCACAACGGTGAAGGCCAGAGGACAATGATTGGAGGGGGGAGGGAGGGGAGGAAGTGGGTGAGCGACAGTGTTCGTGTGTTGCTCCAATTTTCCTTCTTGAAATGTTGGGGGGGGGATATGCTATGCAGCCTTCATCAAGCCGGTCTCTCTCACCTCCATCTAAAATACAGGGTAATAATAGAATGATGCACCTTCCACTTGGTGCTGGCAAAACAGCCATCTGCACTGGGCTGCCATAGGCCCAGATTTTTCTGGACATTTCTGGGATTTCAAAGATAGAATTGGTGGTGCTTTGTCCTGGAACTTAGGCAAGTCAACTTTTGGGTTGTCCTGGTTTTTACTTTTTGATATACGGCAACCCTACACCTGCAGAAGCAGGGTAGAAGTCTTCATTCAGCAGCTGACAAGCCAAGAGTTTGATCCTGTTGGAGCTGCTTTCCCAACATGTTCCCTGTGTGGAACTGGCAAATCAGGTCCCTCCCTCCCGTGGGTTGACTTTGACAGGTGAGCCTACCTATCAATCACCTGACGTCGTCAGTGTGGGTAGCGAGATAAAGCTCTGGTCCGCCAAGCCAAACAGGCTCCTCACTCCTGCCTTATAGGGTTGCTGTAGTTATTGTACTTAGGGACGTGGGTGGCGCTGTGGATTAAACCACAGAGCCTAGGACTTGCCGATCGGAAGGTCGGCAGTTCAAATCCCCGCGACGGAGTGAGCTCCCGTTGCTCGGTCCCTGCTCCTGCCCACCTAGCAGTTCAAAAGCACATCAAAGTGCAAGTAGATAAATAGGTACCGCTCTGGCAGGAAGGTAAACGGCGTTTCCGTGCGCTGCTCTGGTTCACCAGAAGCGGCTTAGTCATGCTGGCCACATGACCCGGAAGCTGTACGCTGGCTCCCTTGGCCAATAAAGCAAGATGAGCGCCGCAACCCCAGAGTTGGCCACGACTGGACCTAATGGTTAGGGGTCCCTTTACCTAGTTCTTGTAGTTAGATTATGCATGTGGCCTTGCCTTAAACTTCCAAAATATTTGTCTTCCTCAAGTAGAGAGTTATTTTGGATGAAATGAGCACCGTAGATTTACCATGTCTTTTGTTATGTTTATCACCATAAAAACAGAGCAGGTAGAGTGCAGACATCTTTAGAGGCGAGAACAAATAGAACAAATGCTAATTTGCATCAGAATCCCAGCTAGAAACAGCATGGAAGCCCCCATAGCCGCCACACTCAGTAGCAGATGCTTTTGTGAGGTAGCAGTGCTCACTTGACATCCTGACAGTTGAGTCGCCGCTTAGTGGGAGGTCAGCATAGTGAAAACACACCAGCAGGAGCACTGCGTTTGCGCCACACTGAACTCTCCACTCTCCCTCCTGCTAAGCAGCAGCAACACAGCTGTCGGGGCTGACTGTGAATGGTGATTTCATCCTTCCCATAGAAAATGGCCGTATGAGTAAAGTATGATTTTGCTGTTTATGTACATAGTCAAATGGCTATGCAAATCCAATTCCACGTCAGGATAATTGACTGTGGATTCCCCACAAGTTTCCAGCAACCAACTAATGTCCCATGTATCAGAAATGCATTTACACTTAAAGATTTCCTTACTTTTTCGAGTTGACCTTGCATTGAAATGGAGTGTAGAAGGGGAGGGGATTCCATCTCATGGCTGCCAGATGTTTTCTTTTTTTTATCTAGCAGGGCTGCTCTTCAACAACTACATGACAAGCACAACATTTACTTGGTGAAGCTTTTTTCTAACAGGGTTCCTCCAGATGACCTACTGAGTGAGCATTCAATACTGATTTGCTTGCACAAAGCTTATGCAGAGGTTAGATTATGTCCTGTCTTTCTTGAGCATTCATTCTGATTTGTTTGTTTGCAGGGAGGTTGTTTGACAATGAACATGCATCCTGACTTATTAATCATTGATTCCCCCCTCCCAATTTTTTCAGTGCATATCCCCATCATTTATTTCCATCATTTATTTCTAAGGGGATTTGTTGCACTAGGGCGACAGATTGAATCTACCTGAATTGTGCAAACCTAAATTGCCAGTATTCATTTCACTCCCTCCTGCAAAATGCTGACAGCCTGGAGGCAACCCTGCAGTGAAAGGGAAAGCTTTGCTTGCTGATTTCCTGCTTGTCATGCAGTTGTTTTAGTCACAGGAGCCCTGCTAGATAAAAAGTTGGCAGCCTTGCTTGTTTCTGACAGAGGAAGGTCTATGCAGGGAATGCATTGGCAGGGTGTGTGTGTGTGTGTGTGTGCAGGGGTGCCAACTCTAATAAAACTGGGGGAGGGCAGGCAAGCCCCGCCCCACATAATCACATAACGTGACACGCACACACCATTTGAATGGCAATGCCCATGAAATTTGGGGGCCCCCGGACCCCTCAAATATTTGGGGGTGTGTGCAAAGGGACCTCCTGTGTGTGTGCTCTCTGATTTTAGGCACATCAATAAAACAGATTCCTGAGTTCTTGGCTCAGCTTTTGGAGTGCTAACCCAGAACATCACCAGGAAAGGTGGACCTATATTTTCTACATGCATTTTCACTAGCATTTGGAAGCCAGGCATAAAAATTGTAGAGTGGCCTTGCAGTGGCTCATATCTGTAAGACAAGCCAAAGATATTTTGCTGCCGGGAACAAAACAGGAAGTGTCATAGTCATGGTGCATGTCACCCAAGGCTAATCAAGTTGTTTCAGCACCCTGGGAGTAAAAATGCAATAAAATGAATCCAACAACTAACGATTTGCTGCCCTTTCATAACACTGAAGAGCAGCTGCCTGAGGTGAGTGAACTTGTTCTGCTGGGCTGGCGCTGCTTGTCTGTCATGTGAAAAACCAGTGCGGTTGAAGCCTCTGTTTGCCTGAACTGTTTGCCTGGGTTCTGCACCAGTCGCATACCTGACCCCTTTCTGAGCTGCAGCATGGATGTACCCCCGTGATACCTATATCTGCTGCTTTTTCCTTTTCTTCCAGTTGGCTAGTAATCCATAAATGTGCTTCATCCTTCTGATTCAGCTGAATTCCACAGGGGTGGTTATTAACACGTGGGGGAAGGTGGGGGGAACTGCTCTGTAATCATTTAAGACATGAATTCAGGCAAAAGGCAAACGGGATTTGATGGTGTGGAAAGAAGATCCCTGTTTACTAATGTCTGACAAAATACAAGCCTTTGCGGGCTTTATCTGCTTCATTTGGAAACAGCCGGAGAGCAAATATATACTCAGGTCATGGAAAAGGGGCAGGAACAAAATATTGACTTTAGAGGGGTGGGAATAATCATTCTTTTTAAAAACTTTTGAAAACTTAGGTGCCTAGATCCAAAGCAAGATCTTGCACAAGGGCTCCAGAATTCAGCCTGGCAGCTTTGTGTGCCATTTCTTGCAGTTGTTAGCAAGTCATGCAGTAAACTATTCTCTGTTAATTTTTTAATGCAAGATAAACAGGCCGAGAAATGATTAGCACAAAAGTAAGTTTGAACTAATCTGGGGAGAATCAGAAGGGATGAGAGCGAGAAAGCTGTTCTGGAGAGTTATCTGTTAACTACATCAAATGTCTCCAACTGGAGTTCCTTCCTTCCTATCTCTTTGGCTTTCAGTAGCCAAACCCTTCTACATTGTTTTCCTTTTTTAATCTTAACCAGTGGCCCAAAATGAATACTTCAAGCACAATAGACGCTTTCGACTCTTTCCTTTGAATTAGAGGCTTTCTGGAACTACAGGCGACAAGGATCTTCCTACCTGGCTGGTTACTGGTGATCAGAAGGTTATCCTCTTCCATAGCCACAAAAAAATGGGCCCCCAGATCCATTCTTCAAAGGTGCACAGCTGCTCAGGCATGAATAGCTGGTTCGCAAACCTTTCCTGCAGCTCCAAGCACTGAATGTCAGAGCCTGGGGAGAAGCATAACTAGGTAGTTGCTTGGAATGGAGTTTGGTCAGTGGTCGGAGATCTATATTCTCAGATAGATAGGACTTTGTCCACAAACTGGAATTTGAAATTTCAAAGGGGGTGTGTGTGTGTGAAAAAGCAGAAGGGACGGTTTGAGATGATTGTGCTGGCGTGATTCTTGTAACTCAGGTACTCCTGCCCAAACTGGCTTACCACATGGGCTAGTAAACAGAAGACTGAATAGCCTCAAATAGGCAGCCTTTGCGCATGTACACTTAAACATTCATCTCTAGAGAAGCAAGAGAAAATCCAAATGATTTTAAATACAAGGAAGGCCTCTTTATGGAACATCAGGGAAGACACGAACTTCTCCCAAACTCCTCTGAAGCAGACTCCATCACCCACCTTAGTGAAAAGGGTCAGTTCTCCTCCCACTTCCACATTACCCATGCAGTTTGCATGGTGAGACTTCCATTAGAAATGGGTTAGCCAACGTGGCACCCTCGAGAAGTTGTTGGACTCCAGTCAGTCCTAGCCAGCATAGCTAATGGTCAGGGAGGATGGAAGGTGTAGTCTTAACAACATCTAGAGGGCACCAAGTTGGCTACCCCTGCATTAGAACATTAAAAGATCCCTACTGGGTCAAACCAAAGGTCTATGTAATGCAATATTCCTGCTTTCCATAATGGTGAACCAGGTGCCTCGAAGAAACCCACAAAGCAGAAGTACAAAGAACCCATCCAGTGCTGAAGTTGCTCCACAACAGCTGGATATTCAGTGGCAGCATACAGAAGTTCTGTATAGACATTGCCATGGCTCGTAGTCATTGGTAGAACTTTCCTCCATGAATTTGTCTCGCCCCTTTTAAAGTGTTGGTGGTAGACAGCTTTAAATAATGCATTTTAAAAGCAAGTGAGGTGCTTCTTTCTTCTCCCAAGGATGTAAAGGGAGTGAAAGGCAGGATATCAAATCCAAACTCCTCCTCCTCCTCTTCTTCTTCTTCTTCTTCTTCTTCTTCTTCTTCTTCTTCTTCTTCCAGTTTCCGCCCCAGTTGGGCTGTCATCTTGCCATTTCCTATCAGTTAAAAACTGTGTCTAGAAACTGCATACACTGGTACCTCGGGTTACATACGCTTCAGGTTACAGACTCCGCTAACCCAGAAATAGTACCTTAGGTTAAGAACTTTGCTTCAGGATGAGAACAGAAATAGCGCAGCAGTGGCACGGCGGCAGCAGGAGGCCCCATTAGCTAAAGTGGTGCTTCAGGTTAAGAACAGTTTCAGGTTAAGAACGGACCTCCGGAACGAATTAAGTACTTAACCTGAGGTACTGTATATGGGAGTTAAAATTTCAAAAGCTTGAGGAGAGGGCAGGGCCTCCGGAAACAGCTTTGCTCACTGTCTTGCTACTGAACTGTGAACTTCTTCCGAGGTCACATTCACACCGTACATTTAAAGCACACGACTTCCCCTAAAGAACCTTGGGAACTGTAGTTTACTACCACCAGAACCACAGCACTCTTAACAAGCTGCAGTTCCCAATATTCTTTCTGGGAGGTGACCTAAGCCATGTTCCTGTCCTGTCTCTATTTGGTACCAGAACTTGTAATGTCACTGCACACACCACAACTAAGCACAGGCAAGGCTATAGATCACCAGCCATTTACCCGCTCTGTAGAAATGCATTGTACACATTTCCATCTAGATTAGAGACAGTGCATGTCTCCCCTGTTGTTATTATTTTGAGTGGAGAACAAAGGTACAGCTTCCATAGTATGGGAGCAGAGGATCATGTTCCGGCATCAAACTGCTTCATAGTGCTGAGAAAAGTTAACTGGCTGGTGCCCCCCCTGCACCTGGTAGTGTGGAAGGCAGAGAGATCAACAGTAGGTGGTGTCAGAGCCAACCAGTTCTAGCTTTGTCTCCCTCCCCGCTGAGTTCTACAAGAGCAACAACTAAGGAAGGGGAAGCTGGCAGGCTTTGCCCCCCAATGGACTGGTTCTAAGTAAGAAGGTGGATGGGGAGGGGGGTCACTGAGGACAAACTGAGGTTGGTGGACACTGTGCCCCCTTCCCACTAATCCAGCAGCCTCCACTTCTGGAAAGTTGCCTGTTCCCTGGAAGCTAGGCTGAAAACACTAGCAATAATACATCTGAGTCATCAGCACTAAAGGAGAAAGGCTAAATATGGCCCTTTGGCAATTTCCAGGTATTTAATCGTTCTGTTCCCCTTAAGAAACTCCCCACCCCGATACCCTTGTGCATACACTTCTTTCGTTTGCTATTTCTAGCATCCTTAATCCTTCCGGAGCTGGTTCCCGCAGACCTTGTAGGGGCGAAGAAGCTATTTTTGCCTTCCTTCGTAAGGAGTTTATTTGAGCAAAAGGCTTGTTTTGCTGAACGGAGCAAAATAGGCCGGAGGTTTACGATATTGTACTAGACACTACGGCAAATCCTGCACATATTTAACTTGATGTCTGTACGCGTTTATCTAATCATAGGGATCACTCTATCCGAGCCCAGATTGAGGTGGAAGATCCCTCAATGGGGCTGCTAAAGCTCTTTCTCCACTTCCCTGACCATCTCGTACTCCATTGTTCCTTTCTATCAAGCAAATGAATTATTGGCTTAGCAGGCTCCTAGCTAAAGGGGAAATAACCTGGCCGTGTTATTTCAAGGAGCAACCTTTATATCTTTGATAGTCACACACCAGATGCCATCACCAACAGAGAGGCAGATGTCATGATTTGTGCAACCATGGTGCGCTGCAATTGCACCAACCACAGTGGTCAGGTGGTCATGTCAGAGGGCCTTCTAGCAGTTCTTTCACTGAGTGAAGTGAGGTTACAGGGAACCAGGCAGAGGGCCTTCTCGGTATTGGCGCCTCCCTGTGGAACGCCCTCCTACCAGATGTCAAGGAGATAAACAACTACACAACCTTTAGAATACATCTGAAGGCAGTCCTGTATAGGGAAGTTTTTAATGTTCGATGTTTTGTGGTGTTTTTATATTTTTCTGGAAGCCCCCCAGAGTGGCTGGGGCAACCCAGTCAGATGGGTGGCAAATAAATAATAAAGTTGTTGTTGTTATGAACTTCTAGAGACAGTATATGCCCCTGAATACAGTGGTACCTCGGGTTACATACGCTTCAGGTTAAATACGCTTCAGGTTACACACTCCGCTAACCCATAAATAGTGCTTCAGGTTAAGAACTTTGCTTCAGGATAAGAACAGAAATCGGGCTCTGGCAGGGCGGCGGCAGCAGGAGGCCCCATTAGCTAAAGTGGTGCTTCAGGTTAAGAACAATTTCAGGTTAAGAACGGACCTCCGGAACGAATTAAGTACTTAACCCGAGGTACCACTGTATCAGCTCCTGGAGAGAAGCAGTAGGAAGGAGCCCTAGCCTTTCATCCCAATGTCCTACCTGTGGGCTTCCTACAGGTCTTTGGTTTGCTCTACAGCAAGCAGGATGCTAGACTATGTGACTCCTTAGTCTGATCCAGCAAGGCTCTTATCTTCTCAGTGAGGTCACATGGATGGGTGGAACACACAAACGCAGGAACTTCCTAACTGTGCGATAGTCTTGCACACTCATTAAGTGCACTCATAGAGTGCGTGGTATTAAAATGATCCATGTAAACAGCCATCGGAAAGCATTGGTTTGTTCCAAATGACCTGCGTTCTCAGGGGTCATGCAGTGCTATTCTGTTTAATATCCCCCCACGAGGAAGATGGTAATTCTGAACCAGGCCTCTCAGTATTGCTGCTTTTAGTTTAGGAACTACATGCAAGAAATATGTGACCGTGGTAAGAGTGTGGCTTATGTTTGTGTGTGGTTCCCATGGGCAGTCTGTGCTCCATTGTTTGTTTGTTTCCATTGCTGGCGTATTCTGCAACATGCCATTGTCACAATAGTAGTGCATTCATGGTGGATTTATACTAGACCGTCAACACATCATTTTGCTTTATTAGTGGTTTTGTGATGCTCCCCCAATGATCAAGGTAGTGCAGTGACTCCCTTATGAAGAAAGGTTGCAGTGTTTGGGACATTTTCGTTTGGAGAAAAGGCAAGGTGACATGACAGAAGTTTATCAAAGTTTGCGTGGCATGGAGAAACTGGACATGGGGAAGTTTTTCCTCCCTCTCTCATAACACTAGAGCTCATTGGCATCCAACAGAGATGAATGTTGGAAGATTCAGGACAGGGAAAAGAAAGCACTTTTCCAGGTAGTGCATATACAAACTCAGTTCCCCAGGACACAGTGATGATGACCACATCCTGGATAGCTTTAAAAGAAGATGAGACAAATTCATGGAGGAGAGTGCTGTGCTCTGCCTCATCCACAGTTGGGGGAAGCATAGAATCATAGAATCATAGAGTTGGAATAGACCACAAGGGCCATCGAGTCCAACCCCCTGCCAAGCAGGAAACACCATCAGAGCACTCCTGACATATGGTTGTCAAGTCTCTGCTTAAAGACCTCCAAAGAAGGAGACTCCACCACACTCCTTGGCAGCAAATTCCACTGTCGAACAGCTCTTACTGTCAGGAAGTTCTTCCTAATGTTTAGGTGGAATCTTCTTTCTTGTAGTTTGGATCCATTGCTCCGTGTCCGCTTCTCTGGAGCAGCAGAAAGCAACCTTTCTCCCTCCTCTATATGACATCCTTTTATATACAGTATTTGAACATGGCTATCATAAATGCTTTCGAAAACCACCTGCCGAAAACCACAGGGGTAGAGAGTGCTCTTGTGCTTGAATCTTGCTCACTGGTTCTCCACCGGCATCTGGTTGGCCACTGTGAGATTAGGATGCTGGACTAGATGGGCCATTGGTCTGATCCACCAGGCTCTTCTTATGTTCTTAATGTTACTGCATTGTTGCTGTCTGGAGGGGCCCTCTTGCACTATGGCCGAACGAAAAAGTGGGGGGTGGATAACAACAGAACATTTGTGTTGTAAAAAGTTACAGGTTTTCAGCAGCAAGTTATGGGACATGCACTGGTTGGAAACCAAGCTGCTTATCCCTTGTGGTACTTTTGTGCATAAACAGTGTTAAAAGTAGGTTTGCCTAGAACAAGGGTAGTCAGCCCTTTTATACCTACTGCCCACTAATGCATCTTTCTTGATGGTAAAATTTCCTTACCACCTACCAGTGCTCAATGGAAGGAGGATTCAGCTTGTGCCCTACCACCCACCTACAATCCTGAAACGCCCACTAGTGGGTGGTAGGGACCAGGTTGACAACCTCTGGCCTAGAACCTTCCAAATGGCATCATGAGCAGAAGTATTCATGAATGCCCAATAAAAAGGATGTCTGGGGGTGGAAGGACCCTCACCTTGAATCATAGGCTTCCTGTTTTCATTGAGAACCATGAGCTCTTCATCCAGCCCATGGTTTGGATCCAGATTACGTTAGTTGCCCATAGTTCGCACTGAAATCAACAGGACGTAAGTCTTGATTAACCTGTCCCATCGATCTCAGTTGTGGCTAACTGAAAGCAACTCACTTAGTTTGGATGTGTCCAATATATCGCTACACTCAAGTGCTATGCAAACACATTTTCTCCAAATGGTGAGACGTTTTCAGGGTTCGAGGGCTACCTAGGCTTGGTTTCCTTTGAATGCAAGTACTGGAGAGAGCCACTGGCAATGTGTGTTACCTTACTGGCCCGAATATAAGCCACACTCCCCCCCCCCAATTCAGACCCTGAAAAATTAAAGTGTGGGTTATATTTGAGACCTTACGCCACCGGAAAAGTGGCGCGACTCCTCCCCAGGAAGCAGCCCGGATATTGTCTTTTTTTCTTTTGCCCCCTTCAATTGTAAAGGTACAACTTATTTGCAGGTGCGGCTTATATTCGGGCCAATACGGTATATGGTTTACTTACACATAGATAGAGGTTGAGAATAGGTAGAGGTTTGCAGCATAATGTTTCAGATCTGACCCCACCAGATTTCTAGGGCTTTGTTCCCTAAATATGTGTCACGGTCCAAGACCAACCAACTTGTATTTGAAACAGATGTAGGTGGTAGCTTCTCTCCATTTAGTATATGGCTGCTTTTTTCAGATTCTTTCACTGCCCCCTCCCCAATCTCATGGCCACTGCCACTTGTCCTGCCATGTTCTTCTTTTGAGTCTGTGTTGGTAACTGGGGGGCTGGTAGATTGGAGAATACCCCTTGGGAAACCAGATTTATCCAAGGATTTAAATCAGTGGCTGGTTTACCTAGCAAAGAGTTGCTGAAAACTAGTTCAGGGTCATTAATTTATTCCATGGAAACTAAATCATAAGAATGGTTGCAAAAAAATAAACAAAACTGCCATAATCATTAATTATTACTGGCTTTTCAGTGCAATTCAGCTGATGCTGTTAAACAATAAATTGATTTACAGTTATTAATCTGTGGTGGTTACACAACAGAATTTCCAGTGGGTCATAAAACTCCTCCCCAGTTGAGGCCACTGAAAATCAACTCACTGCATATAATGATATCTCTCCAAGCTTGAGATGAAAACAAGTAGCAGAGAAAGGGCAATTAATTTTGGGGTTCCCTCCATACTTGCTAATCAGAAACTTGTGCACAAGGGCAGTTAGCTGTGTGAAGAAACTGTGAATGCCTTTAATGGGACTTTGGATAGCTCTAACTAAAATATATGTACTGTACTTTTCCATCTATAAGACACCCCCATGTATAAGATGCTTCCTATTTTGGGGGACTGAAATTTTGGAAAATAGGGGGAGATGGAAAACAGTAAGTTGAGCTTTTTTGTGGAGGATTGCTCAGAGTTGTTGAGCTTTTTTGGGGGGGGGGTATTACCGAGGGTTGCTGAGCTTTTTTTAGGGTGGGGAATGCCGAAAATCGCTCACCAGCACACATTGCAAAATCATCCTCCCATCTGTCCCCTCGTGGGCAGAGGCTGCCAACCGCCCGACCAATCTGCCAATCGCCCGACCAATTGCCGCAGCGTCGGCCAATCAACACACCCATTGACGCCGCAACCAATAACACGCACAATAGTTGCTGACAACCGCAGCAGCAACCAGTCAAACGTCCACCCTATGCACTACCCGTGTATAAGACGGCCTCCACTTTTTTGCATGATTTTTAAGGAAACAAACCTTGACTAATACATGGGAATGTACGGTAGATTGATTTGAGTGGTGCAGACTCCGAGAGAAGATTTTATTTATTTAAAATCATTTATATACCACTTAATTATTATTTTGGGGTGGGGAGGACAACATCTCTACATTGTGTACTGTCTAAAAAACAAACAATATGATAGGAATTTAACGTAGTGCAAAGGAGATTGCTCTGTCAGTGCAAGAGGAATCCTGTTGCACTAGTGGAGGTCCTAGTGGCATCAGTTAGTTAAATCCAGCCCATAATAATTAAAATATTTAAAAAGCACAACCTAAAACAGAAAAACAGTATAAAAACACATAAAAGCAAATAAAGCATAAATGTAGAAGAAACATGTAAAACAGGGTCTCATCTTATGAGTCTGAGAAAGAACATGTACAAATCTAGTAGTTATTGATTCTACCCCAAATGCAGGAATAAGCACTTGAATGTCAAATCAATGATGCATAGGCAGCATAATATCCACAAACATTAAATGGGGTATAAAGGCATACCCTCCAACATTTCTCCGATGAAAATAGGGACGTCCCATTCCATAAGGATAATATTACTATTTATACCCCACACATCTTACTGGGTTGTCCCAACCACTCTGGGCGGCTTCCAACATATATAAAAACATAATAAAACATTAAACATTAAAAAAAACACCTTCCCTATACAGGTTTGCCTTCAGACGGCTGGGGGGTGGGATAACATTATACCCTCCAACATTTCTTCAATGAAAATAGGGACATCCTAAGGAAAAGCGGGACATTCCGGAATCAAATCAGAAACCAGGACGACTTCTCTAAAACAGGGACTTCTCTCTAAAACAGGGACACTTGGAGGGTCTGCAAAGGCTACTTTTGGTACAATTGCAGAAGAGATTCATGGTTTGATAGTGATCAAGCCAAATAGCCAAAGGTCTTATTCATTTGCTTTTCACAATCAATGCAGTTATTATGCTTCTGAAGTGAGCAATGGTGCAGATAGGAAATATTACAGAGCAATTATTTGCACCCAGATCGTCCTAGTCCAATACCACACTGCATGAGCTTTCTAATTTATTTTGGCATAACCTGCCCCCCCCCCAATATTCAAAACCTGTGTTTCCCTGCATGATAGAAAACACATGCTTGTATGTAGACAACTCAACTTCTGAGCATATTTATTGGAATCTGAATCAGCTGTTAATTGGTTGGAGCAAAAGTGCAGGTGTCTGCACTGTACCTGCCAAGGCTATTAGCAGTCGGGTTGAGGAGGGTGGATAGAATTTCAATCAGGAAAATGACACAGGGGGGAGGGCTACGCAGAGCCCCCTCCCCAGCACTGCTGCTCAAAGCCTCTCGCAGGAGCTTCCAAGCTTCTAAAAAAGATATTGGGCAATCCGATCGTAGATTTTGAGTGTCACATGCCATTTGGCCCAAATGCTAAACGGTACCTGTGGGAGGGGACCACAAGGAAGATCTTACTTGTCCAAGCGAAGTATCATCGCATGATGGAATATGGCGAAGGCCCACTTTGACATTTCAGGGCTCGCCTGGCCCTGAAAGATGTGTGGTGGAAAAAATGCCATGAGGTGGGAGTTGTTTACAGTGAAGTCGCAGCCTGTAAAACATCGTTTTATAGGGAAGTAAAAAGAAAGGCCTGTGTATGACAGAGCAGGAATTACAATTCTGCCGACCTTCACCAAACAGAGAGACAACAGGGCGTGAGAGGAGAAAGAGTTAGATTGGTGAAATGGCGGCAAGCTAGGAATAGAAAAATCAGTGCTTTTTTTATATTCCAGATCCGTTCGTCCAATTCTTTGGCACTTTAACTACAAGTAAGGTAATCCCAGGACTTTTTTTCCAGCCGGAACTCAGTTCTGGCACCTCTCAGGTAGAGGTGCCATTATAAAAGAACAAGGGAGGTGTTCATGGCGAGTTCTGGCACCTCTTTTTCTAGAAAAAATAGCACTGGGTAATCCTAACAGCTGGGCATGAGGTATAGAAGACCCTGAGAAAGTTTGGCACAGATCACTTGCATACCTATTACACCTGTCTCAAACCTGAAGTCCTCGGCATTGTGCCGTTGACTAATAAGAAATAATAAACAAAATTGAAGTGAGAGAGGAAGACAGAAGGAGCTGAGCAGAGCAGTCCGCACCAGTGAGATGATTAAAGATTAACCCCCCTTGCCTCCTGCCTCCACCCCTCTGGGTTGTATAGGCCTTGAAGCTCAGCAGATCCTTTCAGAGAAATATTTGAAATAAAGGCCAACAGATAGGGGACGCCGGCAAAATCAGTTGGAGAGGTTGAGGGGCCAATAACCTCTGGCTGCGGAATCACTGCAATCTGGCCTGTGTTTGCTGATGATAATGCGCCTTTCCAAAGCCCTGATAGACATGGAGATGGCAGATTATAGTGCGGCTTTAGACCCGGCATACACGACTCTGGAGTTTGAGAACATGCAAGTCTTGGCAATAGGCAACGGTAAGTCCGACTCGGAACTTTGCTCTTCTCTGTTAAATTTTGGGTAAGGGACAGCTGACCTTCAGAGGCGCATTTGCAAACAGGCAGCGGCGGCCAGATGGTGTGGAGGCTTCATTGCGTGTCTGTTTCCTTGTTGTCCCAAGGAAAACCTTCCCTGTCGGCGGAGGCTTTTCTCCAGGCTCCAACTTCCCTGCCTGTTTATGGCAAGATTTTGTTTGACCAGTGCTCTGCTTAGCTCGAACCGGGTGACTTTTCCAGGGATGGGTGCGGCGTAGAAATCTTGTAGTGTATTACGGGTTTTCTCCCACATGACATATCTGTCAGAGGAAGGCATAGAAAGAACCCCAGAAGGTTGCAATGGATGGTGAGCATATAGGGAGAAGGGAACAAAGTAGAGAGCTAGGTCATTGCTCCGGAGTGTAGGACCCAAACCAAGAGGTTTAAATTCTAAGAAAAAATATAATTTAGAATCAGAAAGAACTTGGCAGCGGGGCTGTAGTTGATCTCCTGTATCGGCATCCCTTCCAACTCGTGTCTGTGATTGTCTCCTGAAGGGATTGGCTTCGAAGGGATGTGATTAGATAATACAGTATAGTTTTCTCTGCCTAGAGGCACTTCTGCGGTACAAGGGCTCATTAGGAACAGAATTTGTCTTTATGCGAAATACATTTCTTCATGTTGCCAGTGCAGGGGGGCAATTTGAATGGGGAGGGGGAAAATTTGAGAACGAGTTATTAATAGGTAATGGCCTTTTAGGCTTCCTCCACGTGAATAGGTGTTCACTTTTTGAATAAAATGTCACGGGGGGGGGGGGGACCAGGATTTTAGAGATGCTTAGGTGGGGCATGGCCAAAAAAAAGGTTGGTAACCACTGACTTAGAGGGATACTGGTTCAGAATTCAGGAAGGATTGGAAAAGATCTGCTACTTTGATCCTATGCAGACAAACAAACAGGAGAGTAAGCCCCACAGAACACGTTAGAACTTAATTGCAAGTAAATTTATACAGAATTGTGCTTTAGAGATGGGCCACTGTGTGCTTATTTCACATAATAATATTTGCTGTTTATATCCAGCGCTTTTTGAGAGGCCAAAGAGCTCATCCTTAGAGCAGCACTGCACCGTTGGCCCAGATTATTATTCCCATATTGCACGTAACAGGGCTGAAGCTACGTAATAAACATTGTTTGGCTGAAGTGCACCTAATGATTTTGTGGCCGAGGCCAAATTTGATCCAGAAACTTCCTTCCTCATGGATCAAATGCATAAGATACCTCACAAATTCCTGGATTACCTTGTCAAGTGTGTATGTAGCCTTTTGGGGCGTTTTGCCAGTCACATTTCGTGGTGGAAAATGACATCCTGCCTTATGCCAGTGTGTGCATAGACTGTAAGGCCAAAATAATAGCCTTGCAGCTTTTCAAACTGCAAACAGCTTCAGCATGTTTCATAGCAAGGAATGAAGAAGTACTGCGGGCTGACATTTCTGCTTCCTTCAGCTGCTTTAGCCCATAGGAGTCATTAGCTTATTCCACTCCTAAAACGTTTGGGGATTTGTTTTTGTTCACAAGATCCAAGATTTGTGTTTTTGGCAAGTTTACCCCCGGATTCTCTGAACAACAGGCTAATGGCTAATCTTAGTGTAATTCAGAAGCATGCCTTACATTAATTCTGCAATTCAGAAAGATATCTTCTCTACTCAAACTTTCTTAATACGGACACCTATTGGGTCTTTACTGAGTGATTTTACAAGGAGAAAGGGTTTCATACTTTGCACTTGTCATTATTTAATAAGCACAACACCAATTCTCTGAATACAGGTCACCTCTATAGTGCATGCATTGAATATTTGCCTGGTTGTCTGGTTTTTTTAATACTTTATTTTTGATTGCCTTAACACTGGGAAGGTGGATATATTATCATTGATTTTTTATTTTATTTTTTATTTTCACTTCTGATGGTGGAATATAAATACTTGAAATGTACAATCATATAGCATAGCCTTGGAATATAATCCAACCCTGTTTGGGACAGCATCATTATACCGGGGCATCTTCCCCCCCCCCCAGTTGTTGTGTGAAATTTAATTGCCATGAGCCAATTCAAACCTGTACATAATACTGTGGGATATTGTAGAATGGGATGAGCTACTTGTGCCCCTCCAGAGCTTGCTGGACTCCAACTCCCGTCAGCCCCAGCCAGCATGACGAATGGCCTGGGATGATGGGAGTTGTAGTTCAGCAGCGCCTGAAGGGTCACGGGTTCTTTACACCTGTGACAAACCAATGGCAGAAGGAGAAGAAAGCTGGGGGTGGAGGGAGGGAGAGAAAAAGAGAGGGGGGAGAAGGAGTGTTGTTGTTAGTGGGGGAGAAGAGGAGGAAGTGGGTGGGTGCAGTGCCGCATTTATGTATAAGCTAAACAAGCTATAGCTTAGGGCCCCACTCTCTTGGGGGCCCCCAAAAAATGTAAAGGGGAAAAAACTGGATGTACAGTTCCAGAATATAAGATAAAAAACAAATAAAATAAAACCTACATACAGCAACAGTGTTTTGTGTTGTGTAGGCTCCTATTTGTTATGTGCAAATGGCTTTAGATACCTTTTAGGTCCATAAATTACCATATAGCATATATTCAACATAAAAACAGTGACAATTTGTTGTTGACAAAGGACAGCTAGACATATAAAGGGTGCCATTACCTTCAGTAGCTCAGGGCCTCATCAAACCTAAATTTGGCCCTGGGTGGGTGGCAGTGGCATAACAAGCAGTGCAGACTCCCTGTGCCAGCCCTGCCTATCCCCTTACTGGGATCTTGATCCTCACACTTCCTATTTATTCCCCACCCCTGTTGCAGGATCAGAGTTGAAAGGCACCACAGAGCTCATTAAGGCAAACCCCCATTCAGTACAAGAACTACAATGCAGGATGCAGCTATGGTGTCCCTGACAGGTGTCCGTCTAGCCTCTGATTAAACAGAGAGCACACCACTACCTGAGGCTGTTTCACTGCCAACCACGTCTGCCGGTTAGGAAGTTTCTCATAATACTTACTTACTTAGACAATATCATATATATCACTTATATTTTAGGAGGTGGGAGAACCTCCAAGCAGTTTACAATGCATTTTAAAGGCATCATATACAAACAGCGTATTTTTATGTTTCACAGAAAATTACTGTCCTGCAGTTTCCACTCAGCGATAACCAACAGGGTTTTCTTAGTTTGGGTGTCTTAGCCATTTCTAAATGCTCCCTCTAAAACCCAGCAGAGAAAGCTGCTGTATGATAAATTATGCAATCCTAGCAAAATTCCAATGTAGGCAAAGACATGCCATCCATCCTTTAAAAGAACAACAACAGAGCTTTGCACTCTCTTTTCAATTAAATACTAAATTTTCTCTTCTTGTCCTATGCTCCTAATTTTCAACATTCTAATATTTTCCAAAATTCTGTATTCCTAACCCTTGCCCTTATTGTCATATTACAAGCTAATTGTGTACAACCAGTAAGGATGGGGGAGAAACTTGGTTTTCTGCAAACCTACCTAATTTGCACACAAACCAAAAGACATCCTGTGAAATTCACACTTTTTTGTATTTTGAGATGCAGTCCTCTGTGTGTACAGAATTGCATATATAAGGGGAAAACATATATTAGTTAAAATAACATACTAAAATACATTACATTGTGGAAAAATTATTGCAAAGATGGGTGTATTTGGAGAAATATGTACAGGAGTTTTTTTGGGGGGGGAACAATTTGCAAAAAGTGAGAAAAACTGAACTTCACAGACTTGTCCATCTGTAGAGATGAGTAAGGAAAAAACTGTGTTTTAAGGACTATGTGCAGACTAGCTTTTCAGACAAATGCAGTGGTACCTCGCAAGACGAATGCCTCGCAAGACAAAAAACCCGCTAGACGAAAGGGTTTTTTGTTTTTTGAGCTGCTTCGCAAGACGATTTTCCCTATGGGCTTGCTTCGCAAGATGGAAACGTCTTGCAAGTTTGTTTCCTTTTTCTTAACACCGTTAATACAGTTGCGACTTGACTTTGAGGAGCAACTCATAGAACGCGGTGTGGTAGCCTTTTTTGAGGTTTTTGAGGACTTTGGTGATTTTTGAAGCTTTTCCAAAACTTTTCCGACACCGTGCTTCGCAAGACGAAAAAAATCGCAAGACGACAAAACTCGCTGAACAAATTAATTTCGTCTTGCAAGGCACCACTGTAAAAGCAGTCATACTGTGAGCTTCTATTACATATGTTCATTTCCCACCCCCAGGAAGTATGAAGCACAAGAGCATGGTCTCTGGTTAAACTTTTGCAGGTTTCTCCAGAATATATTTTAACATTTGGAGTGACTGTCAGAGGCCGCTTTTGCAAGGTAGCTACAGTAAGGAAATCAGTCCTCTCCTCACCCACAGACCTCCACCCACCATGGAGCTAGTTCTTGTTGTTGTTGTTACAGTTGCTGCTGCTGCTTCCAAGATTCCTTCACTGACCAGCTGGATTAGGTGGCATCCAAGGTCCCTTCCCAATTCCAAAATTCTATGAAATTGTGTTTTTAAGAATAGGAAAGCAGTGCAGCACAAACATTCTCTTTCTCGCAGTAATGCACCAACAGCCAGGGAGCTTGCTTGTTTGTTTCTGAACTTTCTTTCAGAAGTGAACTTGATTCTAGTTATTTTCGACCTCCTCACCCCACCCCTCTGCCATCACTCTCAGTTATGTGGATTCCCCCCCCCAGGAAACTGATTAGAAGCAACAAAGTACCTTGTGACATCGACAAGCAGATTTACTGTGACATAAACTTTTGAGGACTGTGAGATCCACGTCATTAGAAGCACAAAGAGAAGTATGCATGTGTATTTGAGTATGTTGGAGCTCTAAAACAAGATTAATACGGTTTCCAGACACAACAGCAACGGCCACAAGCGCTGTTCAGATTCATTGCAGGCTGGAATTAAGAATTAGGATGAAAATGAATAGGCCTCCTTTTATTCCTGACACATGCAGATGCTGCTCCCTCTCCATTGTTTTGGGGACCACCTGCTCTCATATCATAGAATAAACGAATCATAGAATTGTCGAGTTGGAAGAGATCCTGAGGGTCATCTAGTCCAACCCTCTGAAGTGAAGAAATATGAATCTCCTTTCACTCTTAAATCTTCTGGGGATGTTCTGCCTGCTTCATGTGGCACTACAACAAGCCATGTTTCACTAGACTTTGTAAGGAAGACTCTAGTAACATCTTAGAAATATAAATAATAAAACAGCTCTGATCAAGCTAGCAAGGCTGGATCAAGACCCAGGCCTTGAGGAAAGTGGCTCCCAACATGCTTCAGAAATGATTTTCCAAGAACAGCCTAAGTCAGGGTGGGCAGAAGATATATTGGGATCTACAAGTAGATCTCCAGGTAGTTTGCAGCAGGCTGGTAGGAATTTCTGTCAGTCAGTCCCAATTGTAACAACAACAAAATGATGCGCACACTCTAAATTAGGCTGCTGGGATGAACAAAGCTTGGGGTAAGTAGGAATGGGTTTTTCTGTGAGGTCAGCTTAGTTCCAGTACTTGCAACAAATCCTTTGCTCAGGGACTACTCAGGGGCTCTAAGTCCCACTAGACTGAAGTCTGTCTTTTCCTGGCTTAACTTATCCGGCAGAAGCCTGAAAACTTCCCATCAGCAAATAGCTCATATCTTAACCTCTTTCAGGCTAGAAAACTAAGCCTTGTTGTAAATTCTTTGAGAGAAGGGTGTTTTTGGGAGGTGGGGGGTGGAATTGCCACAGTACCAAGTATCTCAACTAATTCATACAATGCATCACAACGGGCAAATGATATTGTTATGGCAGCAAGCTCTCAAGTTGTAGAAAGCTGCTGTTCAGGCGAGAAGTTAGTTTTGTGGCCCTCACAAGCTTGCTTCCCTATCAGAAATGTTGGTCCAGTAACAGAAATCATTTGAACCATTCCAGAGCCTCCTTTGACCCCTGCAATGTTTGTCGGATAAAAATAAGGACCCTGGTTGTTATGCATTACATGAAGACATAACTTTTCCCGTAGATTGCCATCGAGTGGCGAGATTGTAAAAAAATTTAATTTCAAAATGCTCAGCTTCCTATCACCTAGAAGACATGTTTATTTAACATTTAGATATCATATTTTTAAATATTATGTTTCATACAAATAACTACAACATGCATTATATGCTAGCAAAGCAATAAAATGGCACAAAGCTGTGTGTGTTTGTTTTGTGGGGTACTGTTTTGGAAATAGAGGAAATGTTAGGATTTGTTATACAAACCCCTTTATCTTTCTGTATTTTCCTGGTAAAAAGGTAAAGGTACCAGTACTGTATTATTAGATTACTTGGTGCAATCAGTTGCTTAATTTCTAGATTAAAGAGTTCAGATGTAATGGAGCTGGCTATCAGGATTTCAGTTTTGCCAGCTAAACCCTCCCTAACTTCCTCTGTTGCCTTCCGTCTTCAGTTGCATCTTCACCATTCTGATGCTTATTGGGAAACAGGTATAAAATTGCATGAGCTGTTGTGGGTGGGGAGACAGGCAAATATCCCCCCCCCAAGCAGCAAGAGCCGCCTCCCCTTTCCATGCCACAGGGATGGCATCACAACCTATTGATACGAGATCAGCAGGAGCTCAAGTACAGTAGTCAAGGGAAAATGAATAGGTTTTGAATCTTCTGGAAGAGCCGAATATGCCATAACAAATCTGTACAGAAAGGAGTGAGTGTTGGGTTAGCCATCATAATGGAACTGCCAACTCAAAGCTAGTGAGAAGTATTGCTCCCAGAAGGAGTGAATTATTGGGAGTATTGGCACTCATGTGTATCTAGCACCACCAGTGTACGTGGTGTTTTTCAGTGTTGAGTAAAAATAAAAGGGCCCTGCCCCAAGGACCTTACAGTCATAGGTTTTGACAGTGAGAGAGACAATTAGGGGAAGGGAAGAAGGACAGAGGCTAGGATAAGAGGATTAATATGAAATGTCCATATTGCAGGGCTTCAGTTGATCTGATTCCTTGATTTGTTCCCATAGATCAGTGGTTCTCAAAGGGTGTGGTGTGCCACACTGGTGTGGCAAGAGAGATGGCATGTGCGCCAGGAATAGTCAAGACTATCAATATTATATTTTGAGAATGGTTCATGTTCTTAGGTAGCTGCATTGTTTTGTACTTTCTGGATGTCCCACAATCATATTATAAAGTAGTTGCATTCTATGTTACAGATCAAGCGCTGCTAGGAGTTGATTCTTTTTGTTTTCCAATGCATTTCTTGTCAATTAAAAATTCAGTGCGGCACGAGCAAATTTATTCTGAAAGTGTGGCCCAGAGAAAATAAAGTTTGAGAACCACTGCCATAGATACTGAATTGAAATTTTATTTATGCGTTGATACAGCATTGCTTTTCATTTGGTTTGCTGCCTGATATTATCGTATTGGTTTTTGGTATTGTTGTATTTATTTTGGTGTGCTATGGGCTTCCCTTTGGAAGGAAAAGCGGGCTGCAAAGATTGAACTTGGATTAAGATGTCACCTCTGCCGGAGCTCATCAAGCAGCCCAAGGCAAGTTGCTCTGTCAGCCTGAACCGCCTGCCCTGTTGGGATAATATTGCTTTGTAGGGCCTGCCCTTGTAATTTCCTGCTTCGATCTGAACCCATTCCCAATTGTTTCACAGTTGCCCTCCCTGTCTCCCCTTTGAACAGACACCTCCCCTTCTGAAGCAGCAAACCTCAATGCGTCCAACAGCATCGGGGCCAGTGCGTTGTGTGCCATTTGCGGAGATCGTGCAACGGGGAAACACTATGGGGCCTCCAGCTGTGACGGCTGCAAAGGGTTTTTCAGGAGAAGCGTCAGAAAGAATCACATGTATTCCTGCAGGTAAAGGGGGGGAAGGTGGGGGCAGCAGGATGTTACCGGATAGATCCTTAAAAGATGTGATACAGCCCAGCTTGGGTTGACAGGTTATAACCTAGGGAACATCTCTATATGTGCACCAAGGAGCTGGAAGGCAAGAGACAGAGCAATCCCACACATTTCCTTGGAAAAAAGGGCTCATCCAGACTTCTTTTTGTGCTGTATTTCTAGGCACCGTGTCGTAGTGTTCTTGTTTTTTGCCATTGCGCTTTCCCTGTGAAAACACACTCTCTACTGCTGAACTGGAGCAGACAGAAATCTACAGAAACTCGAATTGCCATTTGTTCTGATTAAGTGTTAAAGAGCAGGTTTTCATGGGTAAAGTGTCAGGGCAAAAAAAGCGACCAGACAGTAAAGCAGAGACCTGTCAGTGTGTGTGGATGCAGCACTGCAGCCTTAATTCCTGGTGTTCATGCCCAGTTCCCCCCTCTGTCCTTTATTCCCACTTCTCTCTTCTTTGCAGTAGAAGGTAGTGGAGTCCTGCTCATTAGGGCAGGAGAAAAAAGAGGAAGGTGGCTGAAAGGACTGGTGAAGAATAGAGGCAGCTGGGTCTACATTACCTCTCACTATATCCATACATTTAAATGGACAGGCTCATTCCTTAGGTTGCAACCTGTCCTAGTGGACCTTACTGTTTTTCCTCCCTGCCTGTCCCCTATCATTCCAGTTACCCTTTCATGTTGCATTTATATGCTGCTTTTTGTACATGTGTTGAGCACTCCACAAAATTGCAGCGGAGGAATCGTTTCAGAGTCAGGGCTTGCCCACACTTGTCCTGTGCTTTCTAGGCCTGGGTCCAAGCAGTTTTGCCTTCGCCCTGCCGTTTTCTCAAGGAAAACCCTCTTTTTAGCACTAAATCAGAGCAAGTGTCAATCAGGAGAAAACCCAGTTACTCTGATTCATTGGTAAACAGCAGGTTTCCCCAGGGGGGAAGCAGCAGGGAAAGCAGACGTGTGGGTGATTCTTAGTCCTGGTAACTCTTGGTATAGTAAATTTCATGCTTTGGAACAGGGATTATCTCGGGTTTTTTGCACATGTGATAAGATCCGATTCAGCGCGTAATGGCCGCTTATTGTACCTCCTCGGTGACCGGTGCTTGTGGCCCGGCTGCTCAGACGCCGAAGCGCCATTTTGAGTGCAGCACATCTCCCTCGGCTGCCATTGGAGGCTCACGGGTTCCCACCAAACCCACTGTTTCAAATGAGCCAAACTGCAGTGGCCTTAGGGGGCGCGTGGCTTGATGAACGGACCTGAGGGAGGCAGGTTTCACTCAGGTCTGCTCGGCAACTATAATTCCTGGCCGACCCTGCCCTCCTCATCCAGTCGGCCAGGAGCGTCACCCACCCTTTCCCCTCCCTTCATTCCAGTTGTTTGGTGCTTTAACCAATTCCTTTTCAGCTAGGAGGGCTTTACTGTGGTCCTTTGACGGTCTTCATATTCGGGGTCAGGAAGGAATTTCCCCTGCACTTCCTTTTCTCCCTGTGGCGACGATAACGGAGTACCCCGTTAGAGGTGTCTGGAGGGAAGTCTCTGTCCAAAAAGCCAGTTGCATAGGGCTAGTGGGCCATAGAGCTTCCCTCAGCATTTGGGGCCCATCCACTTAAACTTGCGTTTTGCGATGGATCCACCCCCAAATAGACCCTGTCATGTCTCAGACCCAGCAACCGGGGGGTGGGGGGCTGAGAGGGATACACGCCCAGTGCCTATGCCAAGTCTCCCTACATCTGAAATCAATAAAGTTATGGCCATTTTAAATACCAGATGGCTGTCTTGTCCATTTATTTTATCCCTTCCTTTTTGCTGTGAGTGGGGGAGGCAGGCCTTCTACAGCTGGGCACACAATATCTAATTTTAGCAAGGCACAGCCACGCAACAATGAGAAAAGTTCTCAGCTCCAGGAGAATTAATCAGTACAGAGTATGACGCAGGTGGCGCTGTGGGTTAAACCACAGAGCCTAGGACTTGCCGATCAGAAGGTTGATGGTTCGAATCCCCGCGACGGGGTGAGCTCCTGTTCATCAGTCCCTGCTCCTGCCAACCTAGCAGTTCGAAAGCACGTCAAAGTGCAAGTAGATTAATAGGGACCGCTTTGACAGGAAGGTAAACGGTGTTTCCGTGCGCTGCTCTGGTTTGCCAGAAATGGCTTAGTCATGCTGGCCACATGACCCGGAAGCTGTACACCGGCTCCCTCGGCCAATAAAGCGAGATGAGTGCTGCAACCCCAGAGTCGGCCACAACTGGACCTAATGGTCAGGGGTCCCTTTACCTTACCTTTATGACCAAAATTCAGTTCAAGCCGAAGTGTAGATGAGCCCAGAGTTACTATCGTTTTCCTGCTTATTCATTCCTTGGGGTGCTGATCAGTACTCGGGCAATTATAGTGCCTAATTCAACTCACCCTCTTAAGTCTCTGAATGGTGTTTCCCTTTTAAACTCATGATTCTATCTCCTTCCTCTCTCCACCCCACCCCGCCAGGTTTAACAGGCAGTGTGTTGTAGACAAGGACAAAAGAAACCAATGTCGATACTGCAGGCTAAAGAAATGTTTTCGAGCAGGAATGAAGAAAGAAGGTGAGGTCTCTTTGTGTGTCACTGATTGCAGCTTCCCTCTTATTGTGTGCCCAAACTGCAGGCAGCGTAAGCTGTAAACCAGCCATGTAGGCCACTGGGTTATGAAACAAATGCCTTCTCCTTTCCCTACACGTCTTTGCAGTCCCACACCTGCTTAACTTCTGCAGTGCTGCAGCACCAGGTGTTCTCAGACCATTTGCTGTGGCAGCTGCTGCTCAGTTTTCAACAAAACCTGAAGACACTAGAGCAGTTTTTCTCCTTGATGCTACACTAGCATTTGACCTATTCAACAACTATTGATCAGCAAATGAATAGTTTTCTTCAGGGCTGGGGAAACCTATTTCCCTGTTCACAACCATCATCCAGCATATTACAAACTGAGCCTCCAAACCAACTGAGACAATAACATCCATGCCAGTTCGCACCTGAAGGGATTGTTATGCAATTCCAATAGAAGCTCCCCAAATCACTGTTTCAACCTTTGTCAACTTCTGAGGATGTTCTCGAGAGGAAATGGACTTTTGTGGGAATTACTAACATGGTGCAGACATGGTGCGAGAGCCAGTGTGGTGTAGTGGTTAAGAGCGGTAGTCTGCTAATCTGGGGAACCGGGTTCGCGTCTCCGCTCCTCCACTTGCAGCTGCTGGGTGACCTTGGGCCAGTCACACTTCCTTGAAGTCTCTCAGCCCCACTCACCTCACAGAGTGTTTGTTGTGGGGGAGGAAGGGAAAGGAGAATGTTAGCCGCTTTGAGACTCCTTAAAGGGAGTGAAAGGCGGGATATCAAATCCAAACTCTTCTTCTTCTTCCAAAGTGGTTTGAACATTTGATATCTACTATAGAAAAAGTTCCAAGTATAATTTTTCATTAGTTATTAAATTTTTAATACTGCCCTTCATCCGTAGATCACAGCGCGGTTCACAACGTATTCAAGATTAGGAATGGAAGAAAGAAGCTACTTCTTCACACAGTGCATAGTTCAGATGTAGAATTTGCTCCCACGAAATGCAATGAAGTCCATCTTAGATGCTTTAAAAGGACGGCTCTATGCTTCTTCCTACCAACCACTGGGGTAGTATGAGACTGCTGTTCCTCGCATGTCCTCCTTGTGGCCTCACCAAAGACATTTGGTTGCCCGCTACAAGAAACAGGATGCTGAACTAGTTAGTCTTCGGTCTGCCCCAACAGGGCTCTTTTTATTTTGTTATGACTTTGGCCCAAACACACCTGATAAAGGGGGCTCTGTCTTGCAAAAGCTTATGCTGTAATAAATATGTTAGTTCTTTCATAAGCCACAAGGTGCTCTTTTTTGGCATGGTTTTTGTGCTTTAGATTGGGCCCCAGTCCATAAAATGGTTAGGCTGGAATAAATCTGTCTTGTCTTAAAGGTGCCTGAGGCTCTCTTGTCACTTTTGCTGCAACAGACTAATGTCATTAACCCCAAACCCTGGAGATTCATGTTCCTTCCACAACATTAGTTATTATAGTTGCATCAGTGGGCTTGAGCGTTTCTGTGGTTTGTGCAAAGGATAGGGGAATTTTCTCTTTTCTCTATGGAGTGCCTACTCAACTTGTATTTGCCTGTTAATATTCAATAGAAGTTACATTAGGTCCGTGACCAGCTAAATACTGAGTAAACATTTAGAATACATCATGACGTGACAGAGCTGCGTGGATCCCGATAACGCATGGCGTAACCTTGAGCGCCTCTGTTAACAGCCGCTGACTGCAGGGTTTTAATTTCAGCACAGCCTCATTATAGCCGTATTATCAAGCAGAATGATATGACTAGGAAATAAATCTGGAGAGGCACAGGTGTAACAGTAACAATCAGATATTGTTTGGTATCTCCATTAATTGTGGAGTTATCATAGGTGATAGTTTAGGCAACTCCATGACTCGGCAAACTTGGCTAACCTCCCAGGAAGTCGCAAGTGGACTACGTGTCTTAAAAGATCCTAGAACACAGTTCCCTGGTGCGCTTAAAATGATCAAAACATTTTGGAACACTTACAAAGGAAGTGGTGCCTGGAGTTTATTGATTTAGGAAAGAAAGCTGACTATGGTCACATCCACATTCAAAGCACATGGCTTTCCCCAAAGAATCCTAGGAACTGCAGTTTCTTAAGGGTGATGTAGCTCTTGAGAGTCCCATGGACTGCAAGAAGATCAAACCTATCCATTCTTAAGGAAATCAGCCCTGAGTGCTCACTGGAAGGACAGATCCTGAAGCTGAGGCTCCAATACTTTGGCCACCTCATGAGAAGAGAAGACTCCCTGGAAAAGACCCTGATGTTGGGAAAGATGGAGGGCACAAGGAGAAGGGGACGACAGAGGACGAGATGGTTGGACAGTGTTCTCGAAGCTACCAGCATGAGTTTGACCAAACTGCGGGAGGCAGTGGAAGACAGGAGTGCCTGGCGTGCTCTGGTCCATGGGGTCACAAAGAGTCGGACACAACTAAACGACTAAACAACAACAACAACAACAACAACAGCTCTGTGAGGGGTAAACTATGGTTCCCACGATTCTTTGGTTGGGGTACCATGTGGATTAAATGTATGGCTTGAAAGTGACCGTAGCGTGGAGATGGCAGAAGTTTATAACATAGCGTGCAGCTCTTTTAAACTGAGAACTCAAATAGCTGAAGACAATTCCCATTGAGTTGACTTCCTTAGAATAAGGGCATGCATTTATCTGGATGTTTCATACGTATATTCCATTCTTTCTTTTACTTTCACCCACTTTAAATAGTTGGGATAGGGCAGATGATGGCATCGCGACCATCACCCCCTGCGTTTCCTTTGCACTTTTCCAAACTACAGAAATTAAAATCTAGAATCATAGAATTGTAGAGTTGGAAGGGACCACCAGGATCACCTAGTCCAACCCTCTGCAATGCAGGAATCTTTTGCTTAATGTGGGATTCAACCCTGAGATGAAGAGTCTTATGCTCTACCAATTGAGCTATCCCATGTTATGTTATTATGTTGTATTAAAATGTTATTATGTTGTATAAAAGTGATGACAAAAATGTATGAGGTGATGACAGCTTCTTGCTTTGTCTTCTGCTTCTTGATAGTAATTCGAAGTGTTTTGCATTTTCATTTTTGGGATCGTTTTTTGTTTGTTTTGGTTTTGCAGCTGTACAGAACGAACGCGACCGAATCAGTACTCGGAGGTCCAGCTACGAAGACAGCAGCTTGCCGTCCATTAACGTGTTACTGCAAGCAGAAGTTCTCTCACAACAGGTACGTCTTTTGTTTTAGAATGTAGCGAAATAATAATCATTTTAGTCTTCTTTCCAGCTCGGGGGTGCCTCCAGACCACCAGTATTTTGTGGGACGGATTCAAACACATACCCAGATGTTAGTTTTATAATAATAATAATAATAATAATTTATTATTTGTACCCCGCCCATCTGGCTGGGTTTCCCCAGCCACTCTGGGCGGCTTCCAACAAAGATGAAAGATACACTAAAATGTCACATATTAAAAACTTCCCTGAACAGGGCTGCCTTCAGATGTCTTCTGAATGTCAGGTAGATGTTTATCGCTTTGACATCTGATGGGAGGGCGTTCCACAGGGCGGGCGCCACTACCGAGAAGGCCCTCTGCCTTGTTCCCTGTAACTTGGCCTCTTGCAGTGAGGGAACCGCCAGAAGGCCCTCGGAGCTGGACCTCAGTGTCCGGGCAGAACGATGGGGGAGGAGACGCTCCTTCAGATATACTGGACCGAGGCCATTTAGGGCTTTAAAGGTCAGCACCAACACTTTGAATTGTGCTCGGAAACGTACTGGGAGCCAATGTAGGTCTTTCAAGACCCGTGTTATATGGTCTCGGCGGCCGCTCCCAGTCACCAGTCTAGCTGCTGCATTCTGGATTAGTTGTAGTTTCCGGGTCACCTTCAAAGGTAGCCCCACGTAGAGCGCATTGCAGTAGTCCAAGCGGGAGATAACCAGAGCATGTACCACTCTGGCGAGACAGTCTGCAGGCAGATAGGGTCTCAGCCTGCGTACCAGGTGGAGCTGGTAAACAGCTGCCCTGGATACAGATTTGACCTGTGCCTCCATGGACAGCTGTGAATCCAAAATGTTTTGCACAGTTAAAGTGGATTAAAGGGCTCTGTTGCCCCAGCAGAACAAACCTGCTTTCAAAAATTGGAGTTTTCTTGGTTGGGAAAGTGGAGTGGAAATACATGGGAAACTGTGGGATGGATGAATGATTAATGGGAAGATGTAAAAACACCCTGTAAACAAATCAGGATGAGTGCTCATTGTTATATAACCTCCCCATAAAACCAATTGGAATGAGTGCTCTATAAAGGCCAGATGTAGTCTAGTCACCATGTAAGCCAGGCTTCCTCAAACTCGACCCTCCAGATGTTTTTGGTCTACAACTCCCAGGATCCCTAGCTAGCAGGACCAGTGGTCAGGGATGACGTGAATTGTAGTCTCAAGACATCTGGAGGACTGAGTTTGAGAAAGCCTGATGTAAGCTTTGTGCAAGCAAATCTGGACGAATGCTGAATAAAGAGGTTGTCTGGAGGAGCCTGTGGTCTCTTCAACAGACACCTGTAAATTGAAAGCCACTTTCAGGCATCATAAGCCTCTTGTGCTGCAGTACTGTATACATTTATTTGGGAATAAGCACCACTGCATACAGTTGAGCAGGCATAGGCAAACTCAGGGATGATGGGAATTGTAGTCCCAAAACATCTGGAGGGGCGGGTTTGCCTATGCCTGCAGTTGAGTTTACTTCTTAATAAAAAAGTATTGAGTCGCACAGTTTAGTCTCTGGCTGGACAGCTTCCAGTTTGATGGATTGCAGATGACAGAGGGAATACCCAACAGATCAACACAGTACTTGTACAACCACGTTTGCCATCTCAGTCATAGCATCGCATATGCTGTCAGCAGCTTCCTAGGTGCAAAATGCTGCTCTGAGGAGTCCGAGAAAATGTAACAGAAGTGCCGCCTTAATGGAAGGAAGGCGCTTAGCTCGTGTGAAACAAATAACAACTGTGCATTGACTACACCGAAAATATGAACTCTGGGAAAGGCCCCCAAACTGGGCAGATACTGATGTGGGACTTCTTCCCCATTGGCCTAGGGTCATCCAGCATCAGTATTATTGTATTAAATCTTGCAGGTTCACTATACTAAGCAGCCAGGTTTTTGTTTGTTGTAAAGACTGTAAGAGAATAATTGGATGCACTCTTCCCACCTTGGATCCAATCTATGCTTCCAGGTGCCATAAGAAAGCTGCAGAGATAGTGCAGGACAGTGCGCACCCCAGAAATGATCTCTTTCAGCTTCTGCCTTCTGGAAGAAGGTACAGGGTTATAAAGACTAGGACTAGCCGCCTGAGAAACAGTTTCTATTCAAATGTGATTTTGGTTTTAAACGCAGTGTAAGGTAGTCTCTATGGGAGTATATTGTATTAATTATGGGGTATCAGAGTTTTGAGGGGGCTAACCAGCCTGGGATAGCAGGCTTCTTGGTTTTTGAATGTCTGATGCAGATTTTTCAATTTCATTGTTCTGTATGGGACAATGACAATAAAGATTATCGTACCGTATCGCATCGTAAAGCATTGCTTATTTGATGACATTTCTAGAGTTGCCAAGATTGCAGCAGATAAAACTGCTTGGGAAAGATTAAGGTGGTGCTGGGGATTGTTTTCTAGGTCGTTTCAGAGCCACATTTCTTTCCCAAACGGAAATGGGATCTTTGCATTAACATGGGAGAAGGAATAGCACAAATATGGTCCTGGGAGAGCAAAGAAGGAGGAGAGAATATGCAAATGAAATAGCTGACAGGAAGAGAACAGTTGACTGGGGAGGATGGCTTGGATTTCAGTGTGTTTTGCAGGGGTTGCAAACCATGCATGCAGGTGGACTTCTTTGTTGCAAACAGACACACTGAAAAAGGGCATTTTTCTTCACTGAGATTGATAGTTAGCACTTTTTAATGTATCTGTCAGAAGATGCATGTTCACACTCCCCTGATGGCCACTTTGCACAGTGCTTTCTCTGCCACTCAGCTCCCTTCTTTCTCTCATCGGCTGATGGATCTCAGGGCTCCAGGGAAAACCAAAGCAATCCTGAATTCTACCCACCCCTACTCTAAATACTGAACTATATTGGCTTGTATCTGGGTATTTGCTGCTCAGGACTAGCCAGGTTTGGAAGGCACCCAAGAGGGAGGAAGCCTAGCCCAAAGCATCCGTCTAGAACTCGAATTGCACTTCTGGTTCCCATCATAAAAGCAGATCTGTACATCATGTACATGACTTTATAGCTCATCACTGTAGCAGTTATGGCTCAACTGGTTCCCTGCTGAATGTGAACTGCCTCTGCGGGGAAGCATTGTGTTTCAGTGATGCAAACAAATGTTATGCAGGCTCTTTCTGCAATCTTCAGCAGCCATTTCACAAACACAACACACATAATCACTGGATTCTGTGCTGTTTTCATCAACTGAGAAACATTCCTGTGTGAACTTCCCTTTAGGACCATCTAGAAGTGCTCCAAGAACATTTGGCTTTAAGATGTTGCAACCGGAGCCAAATCCCAAACAGATGAATGCAGCGGCATTTCAGTTTAAATGGGTTTAGCATTAGAGCAGGGATGTGACCTTCCAGATATGGCTAGACTTCAACTTCAACCACCTGTCATCATTGGCCATGCAGGCCACAGCTTCCTCATCCCAACTTTCCATCTCTTATTTGCTGGCCACAAGGCTAGCTAGCAGAGTACTTTGAAGAAATAGGGAGATGGGGGAGAGGAAATATAAAACCTAGCTTGTTTGTGGATCATGGTATTTGATGGAGAACGGATTTGACCTTGGTTAGAGGGCAAGAGCCTTTGCAATTCTGCAGCAAAAACATAGCAAATTCTACAGCAAAAAAGAAAGGTGTTACAGTTTCTCACATAAATCTGCCGCACAGATTTTGATGATGATGATGATGTCGTTTGTGCAGCTTCCTTACAGCTTACCTCTCCCTCTCCCGCTGAGCAATGTTAGGTAAAACCTCTTTCTCCCCCCTGCAGATATCATCGTCACCAATTTCAGTGATCAATGGTGATATCAGAGGGAAGAAGATCGCGAATATTGCAGACGTCTGCGAGTCCATGAAGCAGCAGTTGCTAGTGCTAGTGGAATGGGCCAAGTACATCCCGGCCTTCTGTGAGCTTCCTCTGGATGATCAGGTATTGGGAGTCCTATTTATCCTAGCTGAAACTAAACGTTGGTTTTCCTGTTCCATTTCTAACAATTCAGTGCAAGGCCCATTGTGAATGACTGTGGCGGAGTTATCCGTGTCCAGGAAAGGGTGCAGCTATTGTACAACCTAAGTTGATAAAATACTTATGAACTATGACTCACGGGGGCTGCATGCACATCAAAGCTGAACTAATGCAGAACCAGCCCTTGAAAGTGACTGATGCAAACAAGCTGTGATGCAAGCAGACATTGTCTAGTATTTGGCCCACAAGGATTACTTCCTTACTGCCAGCAGCGCCTGCATTTACAGTTGCACAGCCGAGCAAAGAAGAAGAAGAAGAAGAGTTTGGATTTGATATCCCGCTTTATCACTACCCGAAGGAGTCTCAAAGCGGCTAACATTCTCCTTTCCCTTCCTCCCCCACAACAAACACTCTGTGAGGTGAGTGGGGCTGAGAGACTTCAGAGAAGTGTGACTGGCCCAAGGTCACCCAGCAGCTGCATGTGGAGGAGCGGAGACGCGAACCCAGTTCCCCAGATTACGAGTCTACCACTCTTAACCACTACACCACACTGGCTCTCAAAGTGGGTTGATAGGGGGCCCCATTTTGTTTTGAAAGCTGTGTGCCTTTAACATTAGGGTACCTTTAAATCAGAACTCTGTTTGGACAGATTTCCTTTCCTTAAGTTCGTTCCCTCCCAGTGGTGAGATCTAAACCTCCGGAAAATAACGCTCTCTCCTCTTTCCTCCAGCTCTTTCATCGCAAGATATTTCTTCATGTTTGTTCAGTGTATACAGATGGGCCCATCCCTATAAAGACACCCTTTCCCAAATCCTTTGGTTAATGTTTAGTGGTTGTTTGCTGCACAGCTGAAGTCCCGGTTGGACATTAAGAAGCATCCATGCCACACTGCGTCTTAGTATTAACCTTAGTTTCCACAGATTTCTTCTTTTAAAAAACAGAAGTGGGACAGGAGATACAGAACATTCTTGAGGATCACTGAAGGGCATAAAGTGACAGAATGCAATCATTAACAACAGAGCAAGAGAAGAGGGTTTAAGAGAAAAACAACAACCACGGGTTGCTCATCACAGCAAGATGTCCACAGTCAGCAGAGACATTAATTACAATGCTAGACTTGGGGAAAGTAGTCCAACATGTGGCCATTTGAGTGACCTTATGGCTCCCTTAAGAGAGCCCTAATGTCGCTGGATCCCAACCTCTGGATTGGAGGGCCAGCATTATTTTACTTGTTTATGAACTAGGCGCAATCCACCTTCACCTTTGCATGTATGTGCCCTCAGGAGAGGATCAGCGTAGGGCTCGACGGAGCATTCTTTTCCCTCTGCAACTGGACCCTGGGAACAAGCTTGCAAAGGGGGTGGTTGAGCACCTCTCACTTACGCATCTGCCTGCTGCTCTGTTCCAGGGGCCTTTGTTCCAACCAGTTATTCCTGCTCTGGTCCCCAAACATCCCAGCACTGAGTGAGGAAGGTGGCTATATATCATTGTTATGTTAGTCTTCAACCTCCACTGCCTTGCGGGATATCTCTGGGAGAAGAAAAGGCTAAGGAGTAAGCCCTACACAGTTTCGGAGTAGAGTCCATAAGACAGTTGGATGGCACCTTGTACGCCTCCTTCTGGCAACTCCTGCAGCCAAGCTGGTGCCAAACGTATTGCTGTGCTTTCCTTTGGACCATATCAGTGAGGTGGGGTGTGTGTGTCTTGTCATCTGGGCAGCCTAGGATCTCCATAGACACTGCCCAGGCTTACCCCCAGGGGAGGGCACTTCAGTGCTGCTAATGCAGCAGATTGACTTCACCCCTGGAGGTGCACTCCATTGCCTGAGACAGACGGGTGCCAACAACAACTAGTCCCCACAGAAGCTGATGAAAGACCAGGCCACGTTACCGAGCAATTTAGAGGTCCCCCCCCCATATCCTGTTGAACATGAGACATACTGTGCCAGTTCCTGAAAAACAGAAGGATGAGTACTTCCCATATGGGAATTTATAGGAAGTGCTCACCAGCCTACTGTTGTAAGTGATGCCTGGGATGCTTGTGTAGGCAAACATCAGAAGAGAAAGGGGAAGGAGCTAAGAAGACTTCATTGATCCCCTTCTCTGGGGAGAGCTGTGCATGTGCAAGTTCCACAGGAATTGCTATTCCTCCGTGTTGTGTTCCCGCCCACAGAAAACTAATTCCCTTATGGGTCATGACGTTAGATGCCCGGCTTATATTGTGATCCTTTCAATCATGTGGTCTTCAAAGGAGTAGTTTAGCAAGCTGCAATTTCTGCGCTCTTCTTCTGTAGGTGTTCATCTTTCTGTCTCCCTCTGCCCTGCCATCTGTCCTCCTCTTGCATCAGCCTTCTAATAATAGGCCTTTGTTCCTCCAGGTGGCTTTGCTACGGGCCCATGCAGGGGAGCACCTGCTACTGGGAGCCGCCAAGAGGTCGATGGTGTTCAAAGACATCTTACTCCTAGGTAAAGGTGCATCGTATAACAACATGCCTCCCATCTCCTGTTAAAAATACTGTATTTTATTGCCTTTTTTCAGCGTGGGGGTTTGGAAGCAAGCAAGCAATGTACTGTATTTTTCCATGTATAATATGCCCCCGTGTATAAGACGCCCCCTATTTTGGGGGACTCAAAATTAAGAAAATGCACTATGCACTGTCTGTGTATGAGACGACTCCTTATTTTAAACTTCAAAAATTTAGGGGGGAAATATAGTCTTATACATGGAAAAATACGGTAATCTGCCAGGTTTCTTTGTCACCTACCGCAGGGGTGGGAAACCTCAGTTTCAGGGGCCAAATGCCCTCTCTGTTTGGCCCTTGGGACTCTCCCCAGGCCACAAACCCTCCTGAGTCACACCCCTCACCAGCCCTGCTTTGTACCGCCCCCTTGGATGTTTTTGCCAGGCTGGAATGTGTCACTGAACTCTGATAATGCTTCTCGCTTGCTTGGATGTTTGTGTGGAAACTAGCCTACTGTACACAAAGGTGTAAAGGGCACATTTGTTGCTTTGCCCACTGTTGCCTCTGACCCCACCCAACACTGGGATGCGGCCCCCTAAAAGGGAGCATGGCCCTCGAGTGCAAAAATGTTCCCAATGCCTGATTTGATGGTTTTCAGTTATCTCTACAGTTCTGTAAGCAAACATTATAACATGAGGGAATATTTAGGCAGGGTGAGTTAAGAGCTGAATGTGTGTTGCAACAGGCATCACTCCTTTGTCCAACTTTGCAAGAACTTTTCACCAGAGGTAAAAGTGGGACGTAGGTAGACATTTTGAGTTGTGGTTCCTTTATCCTGCCTTCAGCTCTGAAAAATAGAGAACCATCTCCCCTCTGTCTCCAGCCTGAGCAAGCCTCACAAAGCAACACAGCATCGCAGCAGCAGGACTTTACAATGACTTAACTGACTGAAAACTGACTCTCCCCACCCCCCCAGGCCCCATCCATCTTTTAAAAAATGTTTTCAGTGGGTTTTGGAAGTAGAAAATCCATTTGCTCAATGCAAGCCATTTATAGAGTGGAATTGCTGATGAGGAACATGTTTAGGATCCAGTTTAGACTTAAAACATGCTGCTACTCCTCCTGAGTATATCAGTGAGTCGGTGGGAGAAGAAGCAAAAATCAGGATGGCCAGATACAAAAGAAGTCAGGGCTCCTGTACTTTCAGAAACAGTGCAGAAGATCCATATCATGCCAGTTACATCTGTTGAAACCCCCTTTTCTACACTACTGTCAAAAGGTGCAGAAGTCCTGCCCTCTTTGAATCTGAGCACCCTTTTTGTGGACTGGGAAACCAATTGTCTACTTCTGCTTCTTTGTCCTCTGAAAGAAAATAGTGGTGCAGTACAAAAATGTCATAGCTCAACAAATTCCTTCCCCAATTCCAGACATCTTGGATCGTACAATTGGCAGGCAAGTCCTTGTTGATGTTGCCGTCACTGGGGGCTGTCTAATTGGCAGTGACGTGTGCGGGGCCTTGTCAGTGGTGGTTCCCTGTTTGTGCAATACCCTCCCTAGTGAGATATTTTATTTACCCAGGCACTTGATGGCTGAAATACACTGTTCCTGGAAACCCTGAGATGCTGGCTGAGAATGTTTTAAACTGTTTTTAGAATGTTTTCAAATTTCTTTTGGTTGGTTTTTAAAAAAATGTTTTATCATTGCTATAATATAAATTGAAAGAAGAAGAAAAAAAAGGAGAAGGAGGAGGAGGAGGAGGAGGAGGAGGAGAAGAAGAAGAAGAAGAAGAAGAAGAAGAAGAAGAAGAAGAAGAAGAAGAAGAAGAATGGGTTGTGGATTACAAATAGTGAACAGTGACGATTTTTGATAGAATTGGGTTTTAATTAAAACAAACAATTCTCCTGCAGGAAATGACCACATAATCCCCCGTAATTGTCCAGAGTTGCTGGAGATCAGTCGTGTGGCTGTACGCATCCTGGATGAGCTAGTGCTCACCTTCCAAGAGCTTCAGATTGACGAAAACGAATACGCATGTTTGAAAGCCATCATCTTCTTTGATCCAGGTAGGTGCTGATTTTTCATTAACTTGGAAGAGGCATCTAAGGCTGCTTCCATGCCCCAACCCCTTTAACATGGCTGGGGAATTGCTTTTCTACAATGTGTGGGGACCAAAGCTAAAATGAAGGTTCCGCAGAATATAGGACTGTATTGTCTAGCAATGCCCTTCCTCGTGGCCAAGTTCCTCCTATAATATTTATTCACGAAAAAGAACCATTCAGTAAGGTTCCCAACAACATGAGTGCAGGTGAGGGAAGTAGAGAAGTAGAGAAAGCAAATAGGTTTTTTTCTCCTAGAACACAGAACATCTGGCAAAGCTGAATGGGAGAAATTCAGGACAGGCAAAAGGAAATAATTCTTCACACAACATATAGTTAAAATCTGGAATATGTAGTGATGGCTGCCATCTAGGATGGCTCTAAAATGGGACTAGGTAAGGATGATAGATAACTAGTTGAGGCACAGGTGTCCTGTGTTGCATTTGTTCACCCTGTTTCATAAGCCGGAGTTGTCACAGCGTCCCTCTAGTTGCTCTTACGCAATCGGAACTCATGCAAAGTCTGTGTTAGTGCAGGATGAGGAGAATGAAACTGGCACACCTTCCCCAGTGCCTGCCAAAGGAGTTTGAGCAATGTAAGGAACCAAGTGCTTCAGGAGACCACCCAGACTGGCCCACTTGAAACTGCATCTTTCTTGAGAAATGCCATAGTCCGTCATTTCTTACGGTTTCCCCCAGATGCTAAAGGGCTGAGCGACCCCATCAAGATCAAGCGAATGCGGTACCAAGTTCAGGTCAGCCTGGAGGACTACATCAATGACCGGCAGTATGATTCACGGGGACGCTTTGGGGAACTCCTCCTCCTCCTGCCCACCCTCCAGAGCATCACTTGGCAGATGATTGAGCAGATCCAGTTCGTTAAGCTCTTTGGCATGGCCAAGATCGACAACCTTCTGCAGGAGATGCTGCTAGGAGGTGAGTGTTGACCCTACAGAAAGTGGGATTTTTTGGCTATTGAATTTCAGGGGCTCCTCCAGATGACCATCTTATTCAGCATCTATCCTGGTTAGCATACACAAAACTTACACAGTGGTCATACGTCTGGGTTTTTATGGAGCATTGGTCATGATCGATTTATGAGGCCATTATATGACAATGAACATCCATCCTAATATGCTTACTGGACCTTGGAAAATCCAAGAATTTTGTGTTGCCCAATTCCATTTAGGACAGGGATCCTGTGCATTTAACTCAGTTAGGAACAAGCTGGATGTACTGTAGGGAACTGGGTCTGCCAAACAGCTGAGGGTGGACATTATTCAAAACAAAGTCAGCGAGGAGTTGCAGGGGAATAGCAGTAGAGGGGATAGACAGGTTAAGCAACCCTCAGCTGCTGAGTTTCCATTTCAGAGGTCACAATCTCCCACCAAAGCAAAGCTCTCCCACCAGCCTCACAGACCTGTCTGTGGAGAACCTACGCAGACTGCCAGTGTTTTTATAGCATGTAAAGTGACATTTGCCTGGCGCCTGCTTCGTATAATATAGTCAGGTGGTTAGAAAAAAACTATTTTATTTTCTCAGGTTTTTAATCAATTAAACTGGCTGGGTTGTTGGTTTCTTGAGCCCCTTTGGAACTGGTATCGTTACGCTATTGCTTTGCGCTGCATTCTCTGTTTCATCGAATTTTGCATGTAACCATTTTACTGGATTTTTTTTTTAAAAAAGAAGAATTATATCCATATATTATGCAATACTTAGAATAATATATATAATTTAGGGTCATCGAGTGACACTCCTCACGCTCATCACCATGCTCTTCATCCGCACCTGATCCAGGAGAACCTGGGGACAAACGTGATTGTGGCCAACACAATGCCTGCTCAGATGCACAACGGGCAGCTGTGTGAGTATTCCTGCACAAGAGAACCAGCTCTCTAGGCGTGCCGTGTGTGTTCTGAGTCATGTTAAACCGAGTAAGTGGAGCTGTATGCAGATTTGTCAGTTTGCTAGAGAGTACTGGGAGCAACATCTCCCATAATGCTCTGCTCTCCCTAACACTAGTAGGAAAGGAAGAGGAAGGAGCCTCAGTCAGACTTTAGAAAACACAATAAAACCCCATAGGATGGTATACATGATTACATGAGTACGTGAAGAGGGAGAACACACAGCCTTCGAAGAAGAAGAAATATTTAAAAAGAAAGCATTCTAATATTGATGGGACAAGAGCAGAAGGGAGTAATGTTTTATTTTCCCACTTTTAAAGAGGTTGCCTGAGTGCACAAGTACATAACAACATTTGGCATATACATCTAATCAAAAGTAAAGAAAAGACTTTTGAAAAGGCTATTGAACCCGGTAGGATTTACCTCTAAGTAAACATGCATTGGGTTGCACTGTTAACCTTCTTTTGATGTGATCCTTTATACTCTAACTGATCCTGTACAATGCCTTTTATATATAATATAAAACATCATTTATTTTCTTTCAACAGCCACTCCCGAAACTCCCCAGCCTTCCCCACCCGCTGGCTCAGGAGCTGAACAATACAAACTGCTTCCTGGGGCCATTGCAACTGTGGCCAAGCAGCCTAGTTCAATCCCTCAACCCGCCATCACGAAGCAAGAGGTCATCTAGCATCCAACCAAATGAATGTATCAGATGCCACAAAGACCATGATGAGGGAGACAAACCCTTTCTCATTCCCGTTTTGATCACTCTGGAGGTTGAATATTCACAGAGGCATCCCAGGGCACAAACTCATCAAATTGTTATTTGGAAATTGGATGGGGAGAAAGCCATCTTCCCAAAGCTGACTCTTCATGTGGCTGTGGAGAACATCTGCACCCGAGCACTGCAGAATGAATGAACTAGCCTTGGTGGAAGTCTTTATCCTATAGAGCCAGATCCCAAATTTCAGATCCGTAGCTGACTATTTCAAAAATTGCACTGACATGCTTGTTTCATCACTGCCACTGAGTTACACAATGTTATTGTGTTTATTTCACTTCAAATCTTAACTTTTTTTTATTTAAAAACGGCATCCGGATGAAAGGGAGGGGTGAACACCTTCCCTGCAAGATCTCTAAATAGCTACAAGCCCTCTCGTGACAATCCCAAGCAGGAATGGTGGTCCACACTACGGAAGAGGCAGAAAGTTTGACCCGGATGTTGCAGAAGTACAGCATCTTTATTGCCTTCTCCACAGTTCCCCTCACTGCCTTGGGGCAGTAGCAGAAGCAGGAGCCAGGACAAGATGCTTCCGGTGATCTTCAGAAATAAACAAAATTCAGTGGCCAAAGTAGTTGGTGGTGCTTTTTCCACCTGGTGACTGGTGATTTCTATGAGGAAGTAGCAGCTTGTTTGAACAAAGCATTGGCTTGCTGGATCAGACCAAGATCCATCCAGTCCAGCATTCTCTCCTTCAAACAGCAGTCAGCCAGATGCCTCTTGGACTCACAAGTGACGCATGAAAGTGGATGGTCTTCTCTTGGCTACGCTCTTCTTTTCCTCACTTGCTACTCATGCGCATTGTCTCTGCACATGGAGGTCCCATGTCTGATAAAGTAGTCCTCCTCGAATTTGTCTAGTCCTTGTTGAGACTGTAAGATTTGCCTTCTTGCTGCAACAGTGCCAAGGGTCCCTTTATTTGAGGGGATGCCTGTATGTGGAAGTGCTACACAAATGTTGATTTCAATGTCATCCTTCATTCAAGAGATAATTCAGTTGCATTAATGATGCCAGATTCCTCTGCTTCAGTGAATCTCCTAATCAAGCGACCCACTACCGGCCTCGTCCATTTCTCGTCCCTATTCATAATGATTCCAGGTGCTACGTTGTTGGGAATTATGGAGAACAAATGAGGGGAAGATCTGAAGGTGACGCAGGTTCAGGGCTGGCACTAGCGAACCTTTCTCCTAGGCCTAGGCGCTGCCAAGGAGGTTGATAAGCCAGGGCTGCATGGGCCAAGTGCACTTTTTGCCAGAATTCACGCAGACTGCACTGTGATGCAAACCATCTCCTCTAGATGCAAAGTTTCTACCTGATCTTGAGCCCTTGCTGCTGTGCCCCTTGGGTAGTATTCCCAGTTGTGAGTGGCAGCCATCTTGATGCACCCCCTGTGTGTGGCAGCTCATAGGAACGCAACACAGACTGCCGTATACAGAGTCAGACCATCGGCCTCTCCAGCCTAGTATTATGCTGCAAGCCTGATGCAGACATCTTTCCCAATCCCACAGCTAGAGACCCTTTTAATTAGAGATGTTGGGAATTGGACCTGAGACCCTCTGAATGCAAGTCATGTGCCCTGCCACTGAGTCATCGATCCTCCCCTCAACACAAGGATTGGGGACCTCATTCCAATGAATATGCAGCTGACAATCTTTTAAAAATGCCGTAGATCCGATGAGAGGTCAAAAGGAAATTAACTTACTTTCCCATTTTTAAATTTTACCTCAGCAAGCATGAGGGCTTGGACTTGTTCTGTGTGAGGATAATTTTAGTTCAGTCTAAGCAGTTAGGCCAAAGTCATGCCGACATCACATGTGATATACAGTGGTACCTCGGGTTACAGACGCTTCAGGTTACAGACGCTTCGGGTTACAGACTCCGCTAACCCAGAAATAGTACCTTGGGTTAAGAACTTTGCTTCAGGATGAGAACAGAAATTGCGTGGCAGCGTGAGGCCCCATTAGCTAAAGTGGTACCTGAGGTTAAGAACAGTTTCAGGTTAAGAACAAACCTCCAGAACGAATTAAGTTCTTAACCTGAGGTACCACTGTATGTTGACTACTGTGGAATTTCCTTGGCATTTAAAACACAGCTGAAAAATGTCATTATCTGCACACTGAACCACACCCCGGGGGCATGTTTACACCATCAGTTATTCTCAGTTAAGAAGCCCTGATTTTTGCTCAGACTGATTCATTTAGCACATTCAAGGAGCAAGTAAGAAACTGAAGTTGAAAGAGAATCAAAGGCTACTGAAAAGATCAGGGGCTCGTGATTTGATCTCAGGATAAGCATAACAATAGTTGAATTCTTCTCTGATGAGTAAAATTACCTGTTTCTTGGAGAAGGCAGGCCTCATCCATAAGACAATTTCAGAGATGCAAGAATCCCTATGAGGTGACTTCCCCTGCCCAGTGTTTATGTGGTAAACTATAGGGTGAGATTACAAATTAGTTAAATGAAACTTAAGAGTTACCAGCCTTTTGGTGCTAGTGAGCACACTGGGAATTTTGAGAAAGCGCTGTGGGTGCCAATTGCAAAATTCACAAGGGTGTGAAATGTCACACAAAGTGGCACCCACAGCTAAAAAAGAGGCAGAGCCACAAAGTAATGTGATGTTGTCCCATCAATGGAAAAAATGCACCTCCATCTGTCATTGCCACACTCGGACACAGAGGGAAGTCCTTTGCAGTCTCTTAAATTTCAAACAAGTGGGAGGGTGGGTGACTAGTCCCGGCATCCAATGAAATGTGGCTATGTTTAATGGTGTGTGTTCAATGTAGGAGAGGCAGGAAGAGCAAACGGTCCTTTGTGTCCTGGATTTTTGAGGGGATATTCACTGAGGCCTTCCAAAAACACCATAGGAAGTTCTGGTGGGCACACTAGTGCATGCAGATACCACATTGGTGGCTCGTGGTGGTTGTTCCATCTCAGAAACACTCATGTGAAATGGCCCAGGGTGGCTGCTGAAAATATTTATTTTATAGAACTATTTCTTCATAGTATTTCACTCCAGAGAGTACCAAAGCAATTGACAACCACCAAAAATAACATAGTAATAAAATATATCAGTCAAATAATATCATAGAATCGTAGAGTTGGAAGGGACCCCAAGGGTCATCTAGTCCAACCCCCTGCAATGCAGGAATCTCACCTGAAGCATCCATGACAGATGGCCATCCAACCTCTGCTTGAAAACCTCCAAGGATGGAGAGTCCACAACTTCCCAGGGGAGACCGTTCCACTGCTGAACAGCTCTTACTGCCAGAAAGTTCTTCCTGGTGTTTAGTTGGAATATCCTTTCTTGTAACTTGAAGCCATTGGTTCGAGTCGTACCTCCCAGAGCAGGAGAAAACAAACTTGTTCCCTCTTCCATGTGACAGCTCTTAAGATATTTGAAGTTGGCTATCATATCTCCTCTCAGTCTCCTCTTAACCTAAACATACCTAGCTCCTTCAAGCGCTCCTCATAAGGCTTGGTTTCCAGACCCTTGATCATCTTAGTTGCCCTCCTCTGCACATGTTCCAGCTTGTCAACATCCTTCTTAAATTGTGCCCAGAGTTGGACACAGTATTCCAGGTGTGGTCTGACTAAGGCAGACTATTACTTCCCTTGATCTGGACACTATACTTCTGTTGATGGAGCCTAGAATAGCATTAGCTTTTTTTGCTGCTGCATCCCACTGTTGACTCATGTTAAGCTTGTGGTCCACCAAGACCCCTAGATCCTTTTCACACGTACTGCTAGTAAGCCAGGTGTCCCCCATCCTATATCTGGTTCTTCCTGCCTAAGTGCAGAACCTTACATTGATCCCTATTGGAATTCATTTTGTTAGCTTGAGCCCAGTTCTCCAATCTGTTAAGGTTATTTTGAATTATGATTCTGTCTTCTGCAGCATTAGCTACCCCTCTCAGTTTGGTGTCATCTGTGAATTTGACGAACATGGTGCTAAAATCTAAAAACTGGCAATAATAGTCTGGAAATGCCTGAGCAAAGCAATGACTTTTAAAAGCATGCTGGAAGCATCTGACACTTGGTACCTGCCTAATCTCTAAGGTGAGGAAGGTGCCACCACAGAGAAGGCTCTTTGCCTTACCATTGTATGTGGTATGGAGTTCACCAGTTGAACTTCTGCCTGCTATGCAGATAACAGAGCCTCCTCTATTGAATGCCTTATTCTCAACATCCAGGATTAAGTTTCTTCCTTCAGCTGTTTTTCTGACTTCTGTTCTGTGTGGCTGCATATCAGTGCCAGAGCCTCCATTTTCTCTCCATCTCTCATGGTGCACCAGGGAATAGACTGCACTCCGTGTCCTTGTCTGTCCTGAGTCCTCAGCTGGAAACTGTTCCAGCCAGAGAAAGTTAATGGAAACAGAATAATTAAAGTCTCGTTCTGCAGCACCAGATATGATGCCTCTCAAGGTTAGGAGCCAAGGCAGCTAGCAAGACAGAGTATCTGAAATTTATTTGGATTCCTTGGAGTACATGCAGACCAGAGTTAAGTTTATCTTGGGATAACCATCTCCAAACGTGTACAGAGTGCTATTTTTCTAGAAAAAGAGGTGCTGGAACTCACCATGAACACCCCCCTTTTCTCTTATAATGGCAATGGCGACCACCTGAGAGGTGCCGGAACTGAGTTCCTGCAAGTTCCAGCTGAGAAAAAGGCCTGAGTGTACAGATATTCTGAATCTTTCCCAGAGTCCAAATTCAATATTCATTATCCAATGATGTCCTGTGCTTATCTGCTTTCTCTTGCTGAAACCCTAATAGATACTGACATGTCCCTTAATTTTACAGAAGAAACATCCAATTTAATGTGTCCAGAATGTAGACAGACCATACCAATCTTCAGATGTTGGGGCTGAAGGTATGTAGCTCAGTGGGAGAGCACATTCATAACTTCCCCAGGTAGACATGGAAATAATACAGATCTGAAAGCTTGGAGAACGGCTGTCGGTCAGTGTAGACAATACTGAAGCAGATTGACCAGTGTCCTGAACTCAATAAATTATTATTATTATTCAAACTTTTAGAAGACATCTGAAGGCAGCCCTGTTTAGGGAAGCTTTTAATGTTTGATGCATTATGGTATTTTAATATTTTGTTCGAAGCCACCCAGAGTGGCTGGGGAAGCCCACCCAGATGGGCGGGGTATAAATAATAAATTATTATTATTAATAATAATAATAATTAAAGGTTACCTTCCTCTGTTCCTTTGGAAGGATGAGCACAGCGCTCTCTGCTGATCATCTGCTTCATTATCACATGCCATGGCTGAGAAAGGTAAAGGTAAAGGTACCCCTGCCCGTACGGGCCAGTCTTGCCAGACTCTGGGGTTGTGCGCCCATCTCACTCTAGAGGCCGGGGGCCAGCGCTGTCTGGAGACACTTCCGGGTCACGTGGCCAGCGTGACATCGCTGCTCTGGCGAGCCAGAGCTGCACACGGAAACGCCGTTTACCTTCCCGCCAGTAAGCGGTCCCTATTTATCTACTTGCACCCGGGGGTGCTTTCGAACTGCTAGGTTGGCAGGCGCTAGGACCGAACAACGGGAGCGCATCCCGCTGCGGGGATTCGAACCACCGACCTTTCGATCAGCAAGTCCTAGGCACTGAGGCTTTTACCCACAGCGCCACCCGCGTCCCGCCATGGCTGAGAAAAGAAAGACCAATTTTCCAAAAAGGGCACTGACTGGGAAATAGAACTGTTTGTGATATATACTCACTGGTGGATTTCAGATTTTCTGTCTTTGGGGAACCCCTTCTGCTAAGGAACTCTCTGTACATCTGCCACTGAATCCCTGTGTATTGCAGAGGGTTTGAAGAATGAGGAAACGCCCTAGGGTGCAAACTGAGATCAAATAGGGTACACACTAGCCTGAACTGTTGGGGCTTTAAAGCACTGTTTAAGGCTATTTGAAAGCCTTTTTGCAAACAGCCTGTGCTGCTTTTTGAACCTCTGGTTTGCAGGCAACCAAACTGAGCAGGATTTCAGTCTTGCTCCAGTTCCTAAAACCAACACCCCCTGCACGCTCTAGCTGATTTCACCAGTGCTATTTTTCTAGAAAAGAAGTGCTGGAACTCACCATGAATGCATCGCTTGTTCTCTTATGGCGCCCACCTGAGAGGTGCCGGAACTGAGTTTGGCTGAAAAAAGCCCTGGGTGTTACCCCTCATCAGAGTGATGCCAGCTGATTGGCAGGTGGGTGTGGTTTTTTAAAAGTAGTCTCACAGACCAAAGTTTAACTCCTGGAGGTCCAATACAGTGGTACCTCAGGTTACATACGCTTCAGGTTACAGACTCCACTAACCCAGAAATAGTGCTTCAGGTTAAGAACTTTGCTTCAGGATGAGAACAGAAATCGGGCTCCGGCGGCGCGGCAGCAGCAGGAGGCCCCATTAGCTAAAGTGGTGCTTCAGGTTAAGAACAGTTTCAGGTTAAGTACGAACCTCTGGAACGAATTAAGTACTTAATCTGAGGTACCACTGTACTGCCCCGCAAATTGGAGATTCCTCACCACAGACTAGACCTTATCGTGCCTATCACCCTATGTGAATTGAGAACATGCCCTATATCCACCCCCGATGTGCAGGACAGGGAAAGATCAGAAGGGGTGAACTAATGACATTGCTTTTCTGCTGCAGCTGCTTCTGAGATTCTTTAAGATGACAGTGCCAAAGATTGAAGTTGAGACCTCTATGTGTGTTTGCATAACATGGGCCCAAGCCACTGAGCTATGACCAAAGGTGCCATCCCTCTTTCGTGGAAGTTATGTTCATCACTGCATATTTTTGTGTGAAAGTATCATGGGGTTCCTTGGAACAGTTGGAAAGACACTGCTGTAGAAGGTAGATAATAAGCAAGTGCCATCCCTTTGAATTCAAGAACTGGAATTATAGTTCGGGGGAAATATTAGCTGTTTTGCGAATTCTGTGGAGTTGTCTCCTTGTAAGAATAGTTCTAACTGCCAAAAAAAAAAGAAAAAAAAAGGCCTCAATCAGGATCCTTGACTGGAATAAATGGACCAATGGATATTAACTGAGGTCATCTCATTTACACCTGCTTAGGGATTAGTCCCTTACCTTCATATGCAAAAATAAACACCCTGCCAGCAGACCTTGGGTGTCAAAGTATTCTAATGTTTGCCAGACACGACTGTGTTGTGCTATGTAATTTATTGTAATGATGGGTCAAATCATCCCCCCCTAAATTATTGTGTAAATCATATTGATTATGTGTAATTGCAAAATTGAATGTGAATAGTGTAAATTACAGGATTGTTTTTCCAGCTGCAACAACATTTCCTATATGTAGGGATAGTTGGAAGAAGGTATTTGGGGTGTAGATTTACTACATGCCAGAAATCTTTTAGTATGCTACATTAATGTTTGTTGACTACTGCCTTCCAATGGAAAAGAGAGAGCTGTATTTCTTTTATTGTGTTTTAAAGAAAAATAAATACGAAATGTTTTCTAACCTTTCACAGATAGGTGTCGTAACATGAAACTTTGTACATTGATTCCCTGCCTCTCCCACGCACCCCCCCCCCAAATTGTGAGCCAATGGAGTGCAGTAAGTAAACATATCCTCCAACATTTCTCCTATGAAAATAGGGACATCCTATTTAATAATAATATTAAGATTTATAATATTTTTATTTATACCCCACCCATCTGACTGGGTTGCCCCAGCCACTCTGAGCGGCTTCCAACATATATAGAAACATAAAACATTAAACATTTTTTTAAAAAAACTCCCTATACAGGGCTACCTTCAGATGTCTTCTAAATTTGTAGTTACTTATCTCCTTGGCTAGAAGGTTGCAAAACACCATACCCTCCAACATTTCTGTGATGAAAACACGGACAGCCTAAGGAAAAGCAAACTGTTCCAGGATCAAATTAGAAACCGGGACTGCTTCTGTAAATCCGGGACTGCCCCTGGAAAATTTAGACACTTGGAAGGTCTGAGTAAATCAGTGGATTTAGACCAGAAAGACAAGAGACACATAGCTATTGATAGACAGACAAACAGATCTTTAACATACAATCCTATACCTGTCTACTCAGAAGCAAGTTCCATTTGGTTCAACAGGCTTTGTTCCCAGGTCAACCTGTATGTGTAAGGATGCAGTGTTGCTAAAAGGCTACAAAATGCCAGAGGTGCAGAAGTTTTCAGGATAAGTGCACAAAAATTATAGGCAGATTGATTGGTTCTGAAGAAAGCGGTGCTCCCACAATTAAATAAGGGAACAGTTCCCCCCCAAACCCCCTCTTGAATACACCTCCATAAACCATAGCCATCTTAGAAGGGACATTTCCCTTTTCTCTCCCTTTCATGGAAATGGGAATGCTTTTTCTGTGGCTTGGCTCTCAAAACCAGCAGCATAGCCAGTCAACCTGCATGTGGACTGCACCACTTTGGGCGGTAGGGGCTATATGACTGACTGTCCCCCAACTGTTTATATCGGGGAGAAGGCCAGGAAAGAGTACACCTCCTCTCCCCCCCCTCCACAATTTTGCATGGAAGTACATTCAGCCATGGGTGCTACAGACCAACCCAGACATGGATCGATCATGCATTTGCTCAGGCATTTTCCTGCTTGAGACGAAGCACTAGATGGCAGCTCTTCTGTATGTTGCATCAGGACAGCATCCTCCACTGCACCCAAGGGCAGCACGCAACGGCCATGCACGGCGCACACAGCTGCGTCCTCCCAACACTTTGCGGCCACGCCCCAGTATCTGCCGCCTGAGGCAGCCCCCTCACTCTGTTTAACGGTAGGGCCAGTCTCGCCTCTGTTGTTTTAGACCTGGGCAACCTAGGAGGGTTCTTGGTGTGACAAGATACAGTGGTACCTCAGGTTACAGACAGCTTGGGTTACAAACACTTCGGGTTACAGACTCCGCTCACCAGGAAGTAGTACCTCGGATTAAGAACTTTACCTCAGGATGAGAACAGAAATCGCGCTGTGGCGCAGCGGGAAGCCCCATTACCTAAAGTGGTACCTCAGGTTAAGATCAGTTTCAGGTTAAGAATGGACCTCCGGAACGAATTAAGTTCATAACCCGAGGTACCACTGTATTTTTATTCTTCACTTAAAGCTGAGACCCTGGAACACATTGGTGGGTTCTACCTTTGAGGCTCCAGGGAATGGTCTAAAAGCATTGACTGGGCTCGGCAGATGGCCTGGGCCTGGATCAGATCGCCTGGAAAGCCTCCTAGCATGCTACCTTCAGCTCGCTTGAAGAGAAGTGGGATATAAATGTGATGAGATAGTGTCCCTTTCCAAGGACGTCTGTACTTGCATGGCTGAGACAGAAGCAGCCGTCCTGTGGGACCACTAACCCAAGCCAAGTAGGTTTTGTGCCTGCCTTAATCCTTCGCATAGCTCGCTGGGTTAAGTGGATGACGCCAAGGCAGGATAGAGCCAACAAAGCACAAAAGGAAGATAAAGTGAAAGTTAATTTGTTACCGGTTGTAAAAGTGAAGAAACGCATGGAAGATTAGGAAAGGTTGTAAACAGTTTTCACCCCCTCCTCGCCAATCACAAGACCTCTGTGTGCCGTCGGTCGGACATGGCAAAACATGTGCACTGAACCACAGAAGAGAGATGCAGACGTAGTGGTTAAGGGAGCAGGATCGCAAGGGCAAAGCATCACTGACCGGCATGGTCCTACTGCTACTGGGAGTTTGCCCGTGAGAGACTAGCAGCCATTGGTGCTCCAGTAGGATCCAGCAGTGACTGACTACAATTTCACTGGAGATGTCTGAAAAGGAACTGAGGGGCTACATGTGGAGTTGGACGTCTTCCTGGACATGGATGGTTGGAAGGATGACCCCTTCAAGAAACGGAATGACCCCTTAGCCTAAACATGGGTGCTAAAGCATTAAGGAATAGGGGCTTCCCAGTGAAGCGGCATGCAAATGGGGTGGTGGTGGTCCATTTTCAACTTAGGTCCAGAATGATCAAGCGGGTGAAGCAACTCCCTTCTGGGGGAAAGGCTACAGCATTTGTTTGGGACTTCTTAGGTAAAAGGTAAAGTTGATGACACAATGCTTGGCACGGAAAAGTGGACAGAGAAGAGTTTTCCTCCCTCTCACTAGAATTGGCGGCCATCCATCCAATGAAGATTAATGTTGGAAGATTCAGGACAGATATTTAAAAGTACTTCTTCGGGGAACTGTAGTCCCTTAGAGGTGCTGACAGGATTTAGGAGACTCCCTATTCCCCTCCAGACTCCCCCAGAACTACAGAGTGTTTTAAGACTCCCTCCCTCTTCATAGGAAACCTGTAGCTCTTTGAGGGGAGTAAGAGCCTCCTAACAACTCTCGGCACACTTCACAAACTCCCAGAATTCTCTAGGAGAAATCCATTACCGTTTAAAGTGGAGTCATGGTGCTTGAAATGTTTGGTGTGGACGTGACCATAGCCATTCTCGAAGGAGACAAGCCACTTTCAGGTATGTGTGCAATCAGGAATGGAGAAGCAGTGGGCAAAGAGGGAGGCCTTAGCCCTTCCCATAATTCCTGGCTCCAAGTTGTCCCCCTCAGTGGCTCCACCCCACCCACCCACACCCCTGAAGCGTTCAAGTACATTCTAAGGACCCCCTCTCACCTCTCCACTTCCATTTACCAGAGAGAACACTTCTTTCTCTAAAAGGACCACTGCCATTTGATATCATTAGTCCTTTATCTTCTTTTAATAGCAATCATATATATATAAAGGTAAAGGGACCCCTGACCATTAGGTCCAGTCGTGGCCGACTCTGGGGTTGCGGCGCTCATCTCGCTTTATTGGCCGACGGAGCCGGCGTGCAGCTTCCGGGTCATGTGGCCAGCATGACTAAGCCGCTTCTGGCGAACCAGAGCAGCGCACAGAAACGCCATTTACCTTCCCACCAGAGCGGTACCTATTGATCTACTTGCACTTTGACGCGCTTTCGAACTGCTAGGTTGGCAGGAGCAGGGACCGAGCAACGGGAGCTCACCCCATCACGGGGATTCGAACCGCCGACCTTCTGGTCGTCAAGTCCTAGGCTCTGTGGTTTAACCCACAGCGCCACCCGCATCCCTAATCATATATATACAGCAATCCAAAAAAATTCCCTATCAGAGAAAATGAGGCACAGCACAGCACAGGTCAAGTTAAGCACTTAAGTCTCTCTGATTTCAGTGGGAAATCGGGGAACCCTGCATTGAAATTTATGAGTTGCAATATTTCAACTAGATTGCACTCATGGTGTTTAAGATTATACACTACTGTGAAGTGAACAGCGTTTCTTCCTTTTCTCCCTTAAGTATTCCTGAGTGAGCTCCTCTAAAAGGTTTCAGAACTTTCTCTACCACCTCTATGGTTGTTTAAAACTTCTTCGTGGAATATGGTGCCGCTGAGAGCATTTTATGGCCCCATATATTATGCTTTTTTAAAAAAATCCACCAGCTATTACTGCTATAAAAACCCACACCTATTCCAAGGCCTGATGGCCATAAAACTGAGAGGCTTTGGGGACGGCCCAGAGACGTGGCAGTGCTGAGACAGGCATTTACGTGGGCCAGCCTTCTCAGTTCCTTCAAGGTTGAATGCAGTTCAATTTTTGTACAGTTCGCTTGGTGACAATGGGCTGCCTTCTGTAAAAAAGAAAAGAAAAGGAGGGTGTCCCGTCCTTTCCGAGGAACCACGCTAAGGAGGAAGTTCTATGCATGAGTTTTGGAGCTCCTGTCTAACTCATATTTTATAGAAAGGCGAGACTCACCTTCAAGAGTAAACACTGTGGCTAGAACTGCAAATCAAAACTCAGGCCCATAAAATCACGGCACAAGATTCCCAGCTTTGTTGTGGGTGTGTACGCTGCAAGCAACAGCAGCAGCACCGTCATATATAATAACGCTGACTTCTGTTAAACCACAGACCTTATTTATAGGGCATATCGACACTGACAAATCAGTACCCTGGGGTTAGAGATCTTTCACGTTGGCTCACCAAACTACAGTTCCCAGGATTCCTTGGGAGATGCAAACGACCCGCCAGAGTTGTACAACAGTGATAGGGCATGGCTACTTTCTGAACCTAAGGGTGAGTTCACATAGAACACCACATAATTCACTTAAAGCTTGCCGCTTACAGCTATGATGTACATAAGGCTATTTGTGACTTCTAACCACAATAGCTATGTTCTACCTCCGCTGTCAAGAGACAGCTAGCCTCGAAATACCGGTTGCTGAGACTCACAGAGTGCTGTGGTCCTTCTTGCAGACTTCCCACAGGCATCTGGTTGGCCACTGTGAGAACAGGATGCTGAACCACATGGGCCTTTGGTCCACGCTAGAAGGGCTCTTATTAGGTACTGTGGATGCCCTTAAGTAGCCCCCATTGGCTTCCTTTTATGTTAAGTGATGTTGAAAGAGAGGTGGTTGTGTCAGGCTGCCAGTATCCCCAGCTGGAGATCCCCAGTCTGCCCTATATCAGATGTGGGCAGACCTCC